CACTTTCACTATTAGGAGTCCCACAAGAACACCAAGCTACACAACCATAATGTATATGCAGAGGACCTAGCTCAGACCCATACAGGTTCCGTGATTGTCACTTCAGTCTCTGTGAGCCCCTGTGAGCCTGAGTTAGTCGATTCTCTGGGCCCTGTCCTTGTGGTATCCTCCACCCCTCTGGCTCCAAGTGGCAGATGATTGACAATCACTAAGTCATAAATATAGTGAGAGGCAAAACCAAGAAAACCTTACTACAATAATAAACATATTTGCTCTTGATGCTCCCCTCTGACCCTGCATCCTTCCTCCCAGCTCCAGGACCTGATTCGTGGTTGATGCCTGCAGTAGGGCAGGTGCAATTATCATCTCTTGATTTTACGCTTCCATTCCTCCTTGCCCATCTCAATAGCTGCTGGTCCAACATCACAGGGCTCTGGTGAGACAGGCACCGGAAGAAGAGGTCACATAGTATGTGCTGTGGATATCTCTCTGTATGCTGTGAATGTGTTGCTCTGATTGGTTAATATATATAAAGTGCTGATTGGCCAATATCCAGGCAGGAAGTATAGGCGGGACAAGCAGAGAAGAGAATTCTGGGAAGAGTGAGGAGTCGTTAGGCAGACTTTAAGTGTAAGAGCTAGTCAGTGGTTGGCCTGAGCTAATGGCTGAGCAGTTTTAATTAATATAAGCCTCTGTGTGTTTACTTGGGTCCAAGCAGCTGCAGGGCTGCAGGAGCTGGGCAGGACCAGGAAAACTTCAGCTACAAGTATGTACATCTTACTGGAACTAGTCTACTTGTTATTCACTCACTCTAGCCTAACAGATGGCTCATTTTCCTAGCACATGTGTCTCCTTTGACACTTCCTAGCTTTCTTGTCATTTGTCTTTCTCCTATCCATCCCTTGGCTCAGCCTAGGCTACCTGATTGCTCTGCTTGAGAGATCACTTCACTGGTTCCTCGATCCAGGAATTGAGTAATGTGTCTTTAAGCTGTTTCATCCTTTTCCAGGTGGCTCTACTGGGCAGGATCCAAGGAAGTACCTTTTATGGTTCACAGTGTCTTGGGCTCCAAAGTTCTACTAAGGGTACTCATCCTTCCCTTGCCTAGGATTGCCATGGATCTGGAGGCAGCTACATTCTTCTGGCTCTGCCTCCAAAGCAGGCAGCTGTGCAGTCGCCTCTTAGGTCCCCAGTGGGTAGGAGCAGAGCCCAGGCTCTGGGTCAGTTTCAGTTACATTCGGGGTAAATGAGCATCAGCCTTTTGTCTTTCAGCTTTAAGGAATATTCATGCTGCTTTCTGAGACTCTCTTCTCCCCTAGCCCAAGGGTAGAGCTAGGTGCCTCCTTCCAGCTCCCTAACAGCAAGTGAGGCTTGGTTAATAAAAAAACAAAACACCTACTGCCTGCTAAGACTTCTATTCTCTGTCTTGTCTTCACTCCCTGGCTCTCCTGAGCCCTCTTACATCTGAGCTGCCCAGAGAAGAGCCTTCTGAATCCCAAGGCCATTTGCTTTGAAGAACTTCCTAACCTAATTTGGCATCTTTCTTTGGAATTTTGCAACTGTTATATTTTGTTGCCTGGTAAAAGCTATAGTTTTCAGATCCTCTTACAACAAGTAATAAACAAACATGATTCATGGGACAATCCTTGAACCACAGTCCAGTGGTTGAACATCTGGCTCTACTAAACGTTTTGATTTCTGGGTGTGTGTTGTATGAAAATATTTAAGGAGTGGAGTATCATAACTCTTGAAGAATTTTACTTAATCTCTGACCAGCTCTGTTATTTAGCACTTATTAAAGGAGATGTAGACATATATGGAGTTTATAAAATAATTTGGAATGAAATGATTTAGAGTGCGTGTAATTGATACCTTTTCAATGGAAATAGACTTACTCCCCATTGCATGATGTAGGTCTTGGCCATGAAGATCCCTTCTAGTTCCAGAGAGTGGTGAGGCCATGATTCTAGAACAAGACAAGAGGATGGTGGGAAAGACATTCTACAGTACTGAACCACTAGGAGGCAAATTCCCTTATAGCAATTCCTTCACCAGCTGACCGCTCTGAACAGAGACATAACGGACACCATAATAGCATGTTCCAGTGAAACTTGAAGGAAAGAGAGAATGGTAGATCATCCTGTCTTCAGAAGGCTAGTCAGCTTCTCTCTCTACAGGCAGAGTGAGAAGGCAAAGACACTCACTGTGAGATTCCCAGATGTGGCATAGCAATATCATGTGGCTGCTGCCTGCCTCTGGCCTTTGCAGCCAAGCTAAAGAGCCAAAAGGGCTGAGGGTTGTAGTGACTTTTCCCCCCGGTAGGGAAATAGTTACAGAAAACACAGGACAAGACCTTTTCTTTCACTTCTCAGGAGACTTGAATCATCGACTTGGAAGCGTTTACTGTGTTTGGTTTGCTAAAGTGGTGATGTTCTTCCTGTTGCCCATCTTGCAGCCAACTTGAGATTCATAAATTTTGTGAAGTTATGTCAGAGGGAGGAGGTGCTGTCAAACTTCTCTTTCTGTGGTTTGTGTTCAGCATTTGGCTCCCTGGGTAACTGAAGATGTTCTCTGTAGTGAGATGCGCCTTTTCACTTTATAGCATGCTCTTTGGTACTACTATGTCACCATATGTTCAGAGTGTTCTGCAGTTTCAGGGGGTATGGACTTCCTAAGCAGCATGGATGAATCCTTGAGGGGTTGCCTCCTACCAACTCCAGGTGACTTGATCAGGGCCCCCTCATAGGCTTTGTCTACATTTTACTAGGTGTGTTTAGCCCTCTTTTTTACCCCCTCACTCAGAATCATGGCTTTAGAGATCTCAGTGGCCATTCAGACCGTGCTCCATCCACACATGCTACAGAAAAAGGTGTCTAAAGACATTAAACACCTTTCTTAAAGTTACATGACTTTAATTTTTTTTAAAAAAATTCTGCTCATCTTAGTGGAGAACTCAGGTGACTGAAAACGAACGTGCAATGTTGGTTTATTGTGTCTCCTCTCAGACACAGCGACCCCAGTCATAAGACAGGCCATTTTGACTGTAATGCACACTGCATATATATATATATATATATATATATATATATATATATATATACATACATACATACATACATATATGTATATGTATATCACTAATATATTGTATATATTAGTAAAGCTGCCTATACTTTATAGCAGCCCCCATGCTGAACAAATGCTTATTCAACTGCTGCGAAGACGTGTTCTATTGTAAATGACCATAAATAAAATGAAAAAAAAAAAAAACTAGCTGCTGGTAGTTTGTAATTGGGGAAAGATGATTTTGTATTCATTTGTGGTCAGGTATAATTTTGGCAACTTTGGAACTGAATTTACCACTAATGATGATCAACCCACCTGTTAACTCACCTATTAACGTGTTGCCTGTTGATGATGATCAACCCACCTGTCAACTTAGGACTCCTGGGTCTCTTCTAAGCTTCGTTAGGATTGCACGTGGCTGGTCAGGTTGGAAGCGGTAGGGCTCACAGGTGATTTGTCATTTAGGTGTTCACTAATAACACATGAAAGACTGTGTGTGTGCTCAAGTAGCAACACAGAGAAGAGTGTCACGTTTTCCACACGGAGAACGGAAGCTCAGACTGTGACTTTCCCAGAATGGCTCGGTTGGTAGCCGAATAACCAGGTCTTGTAGCCAAATTGGCTACTGTGGGACCACAGGCTTCCTTCCAGCCTGCACAAGCGAGGCGATAATAGAATGAGGGAAATGAGCAAAGCAGGCTGGTGGCAAATTACAGCTTTGTCACAGCAAAGTTTGGACACCTCCGACGGGCCGTCTGAGAGACGGCTCCTTCTTATTTTTCGTGAGAGGTTTCTGAATGTCTCAACTACTTGAGTGTCCCTCCTAGAGACGAGCGATTTTTTTTTTTTAAATGTAGGCAAAGAGGCCCTTTCGCAGTGTAAGGGATTTGCAGAGGTGAAAAACGGATGTGACAGGTCCTCTCAAGATGTTTGTGTTGGTTTTGACTTTATTTATCCATGAATTGGGCCTGAAGCAAGAGTCAACAGATGACGGCAGGTAAGCCCAGGACCTCAGTGGAAAGGGAAGTTCACACTCGCTATTGTCCTCTGCAGCCAGGTTCCCAGGTCACCTCCTCTTGGCAAATGGAATAACAAGATTAAGGAGAAAGCTGTTGGCTGAGAGTCATGCTCTTCAGGACACTCAGGCAGGATGTGCTGGGGCTGGGCGTGGGGACCCGATGTCATGGGGTTTGTTCCTAAGCTTTCGCTATAAATCTCCAGCACATCGTGGCAGTGTGTTAGTCTGTGTATTTTTCCACGGAAGCAGGAGAAGCCACAGCAGGGATGTGGTGAATCTATCCGTAACTGAAGGACATCATGTTCAGTTGGCATGTACCCATCTGGTTTACCCCCTAGAGGGGTCCAAAATAGAACTGTAAGTTTTCAATTAGAAAGAAGAGGGAACATTTGAGAAAGAGGGGGAAAAAAGAAAAAAAAAAAACATAGACATTCTTCAGACTGGCGCGCCCTTTGGTGTCGGTGAAAGCAGCAGACGATTCTCAAAGAAGCCATCCTCGTTTCCCAAAGACTGGCGTTCTGACATTCCGTGTTTATGTTTGTTCCTGTTTGGCTTATAAACGGTTTAAAGGTTTATGATGCAATGAGACAAAAATTATTTTGTGGTTGAAAGTTAAAGAGACCTTTTTCATTTTAGGTCTTACATGAACCCTAAGATGCTGTAGGAATTGCAGTGTGTGTGTGTGTGTGTGTGTGTGTGTGTGTGTGTGTTTTAGAGAGGGCAGTGAGAAAGACAATACAGGGCAAGCTCTTTCACATACCAGGTTTAGTTATACCCCACCCCTCTTCTTTCTCTCTCTCTCTCTCTCTCTCTCTCTCTCTCTCTCTCTCTCTCTCTCTCTCTCTCTCTCTTCCTCTTTCTCTCTGTATTTGTTTCCATTGATCTAAGAAAAAAAATTACCCCAAATGTATTTCAGAGCCCTGATTGCATCCCAAATGGAACCAACATTTGCCAGGAACGTTTTCCCCTGTTTTGATGAGCCAGCTCTGAAGGCAACTTTTAATATTACAGTTATTCACCATCCTGGGTATGTGGCTCTTTCCAATATGCCACAGCTAGGTAAGTAATGCTTTTTGCCATTGTATAAACATGAAAATGTTAGCTCTTATGTCCGCTTCTTTAGGCAGTGTGTTAGTAGCCTTCGTCTGTTGTAACTGTGGAGAGCAGTCACATGAGACTAGTATCGGCCCTCACACTTAGAGAAGATAAATCCCTGTTCTTTCTGTATGGGGATCTGAGGACACAATACTGGCTCTACACACTGACAGTCTGCCTGCTTGTTAGTGCTTCAGCTATGGACGGGCCCTTACTGATAACAGTCGGATGCAGCTGGTCTCAGCTGATACAGAGATATATGTGTTTTATTCACCTTGGGGGACTTTCTTATCTTGACAAGATTGGTTTCTAACTTTTAAAGGTCTAGAGATATCAAATAAAAACGTAGATTTTTTTGTTCCCTTGGTAACTCTAACATTCAATTAACACTGGACCTACAGCATTTCTATGACTTTAATAAATGAAAGCTGAGAATGGGTAGCCTCTTTATGGTAACCTGAGCCACCGTAAACTGCCTCAGTCCCCCTGTTCCTGTATCCTACCCCATGTCAGATGTCCAGCCCTCAGCAACATTTGAGTTTGCAGTTTCAGCTTCAGGCTCCGGACTGCGGCTGCTGCTGAAGAGTCCTCTGAAACCCACTAAAGGTGGACTTGCCGTTTCTGATTCACTTTGGACTCAGGCAGCTCTAGAGCAAATGCTGTGCTAAACTAGGAAATGGAAGTAGGTGGAAAGAGAGGGTATTAGTTGGGGAGAAAACTTACACTGCCCATGGGTTTGACATTCAGTTAATCTCCCATCACTCAGGATGCTGATTCAGGCCTAAGATTCCATTATTGGGTCCTTCAGATGTACTTTTTATTCATTTAAAAATCATCATAACAATTGTATAGATTTGTGGGATAAAGTGTGATGATTTTATACATAGATGTAGAAGGTAACGATAATAGCAAAGTAGTTATCATTATAATAGAAAATACTATAAAATAGTTCTGGGGACTTGAAACAACTTGGTCAGTAAATGCTTGCCACACCAGCAGTGGGATCTAAGTTGGATCTCTGGTGCCCATGTGAAAAGCCAGGCATGGTGGAGTACAGCTGTAATCTCAGGATTGGGGAGACAGAGGCAGGGGGTTCCCTGGGGTCTTGCTGGCCAGCCAGTCTAGCTGAACTGGGGAGCTCCAGGTTTAGAGTCCCTATCTCAAAAGACAAGATGGAGAACAACGGAGCAAGATGTTCAGTGCTGACCTCTGTCAACACGTACACACACACACATACACACACACACACACACGCTCAACATGTACACACATGAATACGTTTGAACAGCATACTAATTTTGTGTATTTTTGAGTTATAGTGTGATATTTCAGGGTAATTAACTTTTTTTTTTTTTAATCTCCTTATTGCTAACTTTGTGTTTGGATCCTGGATGACAATGGTTTGTAGCAATCTGATCTAGTGTTGATGCCTTAGATAGAGGAACCCACTCTCCTAGACCTTAGGGAGTACGTAGGAAGGAGTGACTGGTGGGCAACCGTCTTGACAAATTGTTTCGAGGTTGCACGTTATCTAGGTTTATAGTGATTTGGACTAAAATATTCCTTCAGGTCAGTCTGAAAGAATCGATGTGAATGGGAGCAGATGGACGGTCACCACCTTCCATACCACACCCCGCATGCCAACGTACCTGGTCGCACTTGCTATATGTGATTTCGACCATGTCAGCAGAACTGAGAGAGGCAAGGAGGTGAGTAGGGAAGAGCCTGCAGATAGGGAGCAATGTGCTGGCTGCATGTTGTTCACCTACTGTACCTGTATAACCCACTGTCGCTTCCTCTTCCCCCTGCCAAGTCCCACGGAAATGTAGCTTTGCAGAATGTGATGTAACCATCTGGATGTGGTAGCATGCACTTGTAATCCCAGCACCTAAGAGGTCACGGATCATGGGTTTGAGGCCATCCTGGGCTACATAGTGAGATCCTGTTTCTGCACATTAAGCCCAGCCCTCAAGGCAGGTTCTAGGCACCCACTTCCTGTTTCTGCTTTCCGAGAGGGCAAGAGACTACAGACCATGGCTGAACTAGCCCTGGGAGATACGTTGCTTACTGGATCAGATTCAAAGTGTTTAGCAACCAGGATGGTCCCAGTCCTGAACAATAAAAGCAGACACTAGCCAGCAGCACCTGTAAATCACTGAAGAGGCATGTGCAGGCTGACATTCCCATTAAGGGGCTAGGCCCTGTTGGTGTCCCACAGCTCTGGGTGTACAAGACTCTTGCAGAGTCATATAAAGGGAGATGAGCAGGCTTTGTCCTGAAATTCTTAGCTTTCATTTAGTGTATTCTCATAACAGCATAAGATTTTCAGAAAGTATCATGGTTGTTGTACAGTGTTTTCCACACTTGCTTATTCCCTACTATGGAATACAGAGTTGACTAAGGCCAGTGTCGAATGCCCAGTTCCTTCTGATTTTCTTGGCTTCATGGGGTGAGAAAGGTCAAGCTGTGCAGCTAAGCTGAGCATCCCTGGAGCTGACCTGAGATCTTCCAGGCTCCTTCTATTGACATATGGAGACAGGAAGACTGGTGGTGAGCCAAACTCATCACTACTCCAGTCCTCCCAGCCTAATGAGTCACTCTCACAGTGTTGGATGCAAGCAGCAGCTTATCATCTTCCTGAGCGGCTGGCTCCCAGCCCTGTTCCTCTTGCTGAATAATTACCAGGAGGTCCTCGACATTCACGGATATAACACTGGCCTAGTCAGAAATCGTGGCATAGATCAGTGAATCTGCATAGGCATGGTTTAGAAGCATGGTTTGAGCCTGGCAAGAAGTAGCAGACCTCTCATATCTCATAGCTAATGAGAGACCCAGGGGTGGTCCCTCACACCCACACCCAACAGCTTGCGGTCAGTCCTCTTCTCAATCAGCAATTCTTGCCAAAGGATAAAATCAGTTTCTTCCCCAAAGATCGCTCTACTACAAAGAATGCCAGCTGCCGTAGAAACAAAAAGGAACAAGAGAAAGTTAACGCTCTTGGCCAGAGAGGGAGACTTGGGTTGAGCTTATCAGCGGGATGCTTGCTGTGCTTGGCCATGGCTGAGCACTACAAAGTGAGTCAATTTACTGTGTGTTCAATGAGGTAAACCAAATGCAAGCCTGGAATAGTGTTCAGCTTATCTCAGAATTCCGCATTCAGTAAGAGAGGGTGGTTATGTAAAGCATGAGGATAAACAGAGAACACGCTGTAGGGGTGGAAATGGCTAACCTGGTAGACTTGGGCAGCATGGGTATTTGTAAAACAATACTCTCTGATGTCTAGATCTGCCATGTCCAGTGAGGGCTGTCAGAACTCACAGGTGGGGCGGGTGTGATTTTGAAGGAACTCCACAGCTACATCTACAATGGCCCTTACCGGCCTGGGTTTCTTGCTTCCTCCTAAGGGCTACACACCCTCCCGGTCCAATATGAAATTCCCATCATTTGTCTTGCGTTGGGTGTGCAGAATGGTCATTTGTGGGAGGGATTCATAAACTGAAAATGAATGAGCAAGTATTCCTTGATGATGCTGTTACTTTACAAAAGACTTCAGCTAAAACACAGGCTTTATCTGCTATCTCCATCTGCAGAATGGTTTTTCCGAGGCTAGTGGGCTTCCCAACTTTGGTCTCAGAAGTCATAAATTTAGTGGAAAAGCAGCCCCAAGGCCTGAAGGCATCTTTCTAGACTAGATGAGGCTTCTGTAGCACAGAGGAGGAAGACATCTGTGAGGGAGTCCAGGCTGGAGTCTCAAAACAGGTGGTTGCATTTGGTGAACAAGGAACATTCCCAAACTCTCACATAATTACAAAAACTCACATAATTCAAGACAAACTTTCCAGAGAAATAAAAGCATAGAGAGATGAATCTGTTCCTGGAAAGCATGTGCCTGTGTTATGCTGTTTTTCATTTTTCTTAGCCTTTTTGGATAAGGTTCTGCAGAGAGAATTTTTTTTCTTTTTTAAAGTTAACAGAACTCACGTAAGGACACATTTTGTAGTTCCTATACCTCTAACTTTAGTCCTAAAAACTTTCATTTTCATATGTCGTCATTGGCATCAGCACTGACAATTCCCAATTCTGTTAAAAATTACTTACAGAGAAAAGCGTTGTAGAGCGTAAGGTGATTCTGCATGACTATAGCCCTGCAGGTTGAGACAAAAGCCACACGGATTCATTCTCAGGTACCAAACAACAGCGTGTTTATATGAACAGAGTATTAAATGGCAGAGGTGCCTTTTACCAGCAAACACGGAAACATGATTACAAAAGAGTGGAGCCTATAACTTGCTAGCTTCAACGGGTTTAAAATCAGAAGACTTCTCAAGAGCTTTTTAAAATACGGGGACTTAGTCTGATTTTCAATTTTGAAAATGCAATAGGACTAATAATTCTTTCATTATTAAACCATTCTAATTTTGCAAGATTCAAATTTGGTTTTACAATATGTCATCACTCTTAACAGCACAATTCTGTTTTGGATCATTGGAATGATTTGAGAAGGGAAGGAAGGATTTGAGGTATTCTTTTGCATGGAATCTACAAGGATTATTCTGCAATTACAGAATTAACACATTTTTTAAAGATTTATTTTTATTATCTTTTATTATTTAAGTTCTTTTCATACAATATATTTTGACTATATTTTTTCTCCTCTCCCAACTCTTTCTAAATCCTCCCCACCTCCCTATCTACCCAAACTTCATGTTCCTTCTCTCTCTCTCAAACCAACCAACCAACCATGGAAACAAAACAAAACAAAACCCAAAGAGGCAAAAAACCCTACCAAACCACAAGAAAAGAAAAGCACACATAAAAACGTGGAATCCCATTTGTATTGGTCACCTATTCTTGAGCATGAGACCTGCCCTAGAGTGTGATTGATATTCCTACTCTCACTGTTGTGAAAACTGTCTTTCCCTCTCCCTGCAGGTATCAGTTGAAATTAGCTTCTTGTTTAGGGGTGGGACTTTGTGCTGGGAGTTTGTCTGGCTTGAACCTGTGCAGGTTTGTGTGACTGTCACAGTTTTCTGTGAGTGCATGGATGCCCCCTGCCCCCATTTCCACATAGAGCCCTAAGCCTTCCATAGAGGAGTGTGATGTAGACATCCCACTCAAGGTTGATTACTCTAAGTCTCTCACTATCTGCATGTTATCCAGTTGTCTGTCTCTGTGATAATTACCATCTACTGTAGAAAGAAGCTTCTCTCATAAGAGTTCAGTGATACATTGATCTATGGGCATAGCAATATGTGTTAGCAGTTGTTTTAGTACTATGGTCCTTCAGCAGAATAATAGTAGGAGGTTTTCCCATAGGGTCCATGACTGATCTAGTCCCAGGTTCCATCAACAATGACAGGTATGGGCTCCTGACATGGAGCAGACCTTAAAGCCAACCAAAAGGTGGTTGGTTACTTCCATAACATTTGTACCACTGTTGCGTTATTGTAGCTTACTGGGTTCATAACTGGGTGAGATTGATGACTACTTTTCTCCTCTGATAGTCTAGTCTGTACAGTAACTTCCAGAACTGTGAACATTAGTCAATAGGGGTGAAACTTCTAGTTGGGCATTAGCTCGAGTTCTTTATGTTCAATGACATAAGCATGCATTGTCCTGAGCAGTAAAGGCTTACTGTCAGGTTGTGGAGGGTAACCAATACAATTGGCAACAGCATGTAATGTTTGAGGGTGATCTATGGGACCCCCTTGACTAACAACTCAAAGAGGTGTAGCTGATTCCTGGAGGTCTTTCAAAAGGCCTTTACTGAGTTGTCTCTCCACATATCTCTCTTTTGCCCTGTTCTCCCGGTACCCTTTCCATTTACTCCCCCTATTCTAGTTTCTTCTTTATCTGTTTGTAACACTGTATTCTATTTCCCCTTCTTTGGAGGATCCCCTCCACTCCCTGGTCACTTACTAGCTACCTAATCTCTGTGAATATTCTGAATAAAACACACATCTGAATTTTAAAAGCTAACACCCACATGTAAGAAAAACTGGGCAACGTTTGTCTTTTGGGGTCTGAGTTACCTTACTTAGGGTGGTTGACTCTAGCTCTACCCATTTACCTGCATATTTCATTTTTCTTAACAGTTGAATAATATTTCATTGTGTAAATGTATTACATTTTCATTATCTATTCATCAGTTGATAGACATATATGCTAATTCCAGCTTCTGGCTTTATGAACATGTCTGAGCAAGGATCTCTGAAGTAAGATATAGAGTCCTTTTAGTGTAGTGTCAAGAATGGTATAGCTGGATCTTGTAGATCTATTTTTATCTTTTTGAGTAAACAATCTGCTGATTTCCATAGCAATTTACAAGTTTGCACTCCCGCCAGCAATGAAGAAATCTCCTTCCCCCACATCCTCATCATCATGTGCTGTCATTTGTCTTATTGATCTTGTTCATTCTGACTGGGGTAAGATGAAATATCAAAGTAGTTTTTATTTGAATTTTCCTGGGACTGAAGATATTAAACATTAAAAAATATTTCCCAGATGAAATGTGTTTCATCTTTTGAGAACTTTCTTATTCTACACCCCATTCTAAAATTGGGTTTTTTGTTTTCTTGATGCTCAGTTTTCTCAGTGCTTTGCATATTGTAGATACTAACTCCATGTTAGATGTATAATTGGAAAATATTTTGCCTACTATGTATGCTGATGCTTTGTTCAAAGGGAATGATTATGTCCTTTTCTAATCAGAAGCTCTTGAGCTTCATGAGGTCCTGTTTATCAAGTATTGGTCTCAATGTCTACGCTGTCAGTGTTCTGTTCAGAAGTCTCTTCCTGTGCCAATAAGTTCAAGCCTATTCTTTACTTTCTTTTCGATCAGAGTCATGGTGGCTGGTCTCATGTTGATCTCTTTGATCCATTTGGAATTGAGTTTTGTGCAGGGTTATGGATAGGGGTCTTATTTTCATTCTTCTACATGCAGCTTCCAGTTTGACCAGCAATTATAGATTTTTAAAGTAAAAGTTAATGTGACATGCCTCTGGGGGGATCACTGTAAGTGCTTTGCCTTCTGGGATTTTCACAGCATGTATATGATCTTAAATATTATAAGCATTGTCTTTTACTTTTCTTTTACTTCTTAGTCACTTAGTCACTTCTTAGTCACTTCTGTGAAAAAACACCATAAACAATAGAACAGCTGGAGGTTCACATCTTGATCCATACGCAGGAGGCAGAGAGAATACTGGGCATGTTGCAAGTCGGTTGACACATTGAAGTCCATCCCTCAGTGTCACACCTCAACAAGGCACACATCCTAATCCTTCCTAAACAGTTCTACCAACTGGGGACCAAATATTCAAACATAGGAGACTGTGGAGACCATTTTCAAACCACCACAGGCATATCGCTTCTTCTGAAGTTATAATACTTCAGTTCCAAAGTAGCAGGGTGTTGAAATGGGCAAGGTAACAGTTTTCAAAGACTAATACCTCTCTACCTAATTATTGTTTAATTGTTCTAATTTAGATACGTGTCTGGGCCCGGAAAGATGACATTGCAGAAGGAAATGTAGACTTTGCTGTGAACATCACAGGTCCCATCTTTTCATTTCTGGAGGATTTGTTTAATATCAGTTATCCACTTCCAAAAACAGGTGAAACATTTAAAAAATTTCAGTGCGCAACGTTTCTGTTCTGCAGGCCCTGATTCAAGATCACATGATACGTCAACGAACCTTCAAGGGTGTATTGCAACCATTTAGCTTTTATCTTGGAGTTAGCCTCATGACCATTCACCGTGGCATTTGATACCTTCCAAAACACACAGAGATCTGACTGTGCTTTCTCTGTCTGATGCTATGTGTCTAGTGGGTCAAGATCATTTTTATTTCAGCTCCCTTGTGAGTGTCTGGTGGCTCCTTCTCTAGATGGGGCTTTTAAAACTCTCTTACACTTACATATAGCACTGTGCAGTGCTGGGATCTGGCTTCTTTCAGCTAGTAAGCTTGCAAGATTTTAGATATTCTTTAGCTATGACTCATTGGCTTAGTGCTTGCTGTTATCTATAGATGTCATCATAAAAATTAGAATCATGTGTGATTATAATATGATCCTCGAGGATTTGTGTAAATATTTTATCTTTCATAGATCTGTATAGTATGCCTGTAAAGTTTTGCGAGCCGCTCAGCTTGGAAAGTTGCTCAATATGTTTTTTTTCCCCTCTCTTTAAATCATGTGTGTTGTGTAAATTTATTTTGTTCCTCCATGTTTCTGAAGTCTTGGGAACATGATGTTCTGCCTACACAGGCAGATGGAAGGAGAGAGTGGGGAGAAAATATTTGGGATGTGAGGCTCTGCAGAGACTCTGCTGCTCAAGCATTTTAGTTTAGGGGGAATAGAGGGTGAAGGGGTGAGGAGCAGCTTGAGCCTGGTCAGAAACCCCAGTTTGCATGTCACATAAAGAACTGGTGATAGCAGGCGTCTGTGCTTGCAAACCAAGTTCTTCCATGCTAGAGGAGGTCAAGGTAGCTAGTCCTTGCCAGCAAAACAATACAACAAAACAATGCTCAGTAAGTAAGACTCCAGAGAAACCCTTATTCTTGCATGGCATCCTGTCTGTTCAATGAGACACTTTATTTTTTTTCTCCCATCCCCCAAGCTGCTTACTGCCTTCCTACTCCTACTTGCTGCTAGTATACATCACCATCATTTCTAGCAGACCAGTCTTTATGTGATGTCATCCTTCAACTCATCCTTGTATGTGAAGCCAGAATCTTTGCAGAGAAATTGTAGGCAGACTTTTCTCCCCCCCCCAACCAGTTCCCAAATAACCACATGGAGAATTTAATTATAAATTCTCAGCCAATAGCTCAGGCTTATTACTATCTAACTCTTACATTTTAAATTGAGCCATATTTCTTATCTGTGCTCTTCCATATGGCTTGGTACCTTTTCTCAGTAAGGCAAGTTCATCTCCTCTTTCCTCTGCATCTCCTTAGGACTCCCAAGATTTCTCCACTTCTCTTTGTCTGCCAGTCCCACCTAACCTCTACCTGTCCAGCTATTAGCCAGTCAGCTTCTTTCTTAAATCAACCACAGTGACATATATTCACACAGTGTAAAGGAATATTCCACAAGAAATAACTGATCATGTTAAAGTCCTCTTTAAAATCTATCTGCAGCTTCCCATTATCACAAGGATGGAGTTTGAACCCCAACCATGTCTTTACAATGGTGGACCAACCTATTCCAGGAGTTGGGCAATACCCAACTACGATTGGTACCTTTGCACAGTTTCTACACTCTCCTGGGTCCTCAAGTCTCTTCATACCACATATAATTTGTGCATTCTGGAATGTCTTTTACTTAACTGGATAATTCATCTTTCCTACTTGTTAACTCAGACAAAAAAGGTCTTTGTTAGGAGGAGTGAGGAATAGTGAGATATGCACACAATAGAAGACTAGACAGCAATGGAAATGAAGCACCTTTTCTAAAGTTTAAAACACAAAAGTGATTCTAAATAATGAAGTAAAATAGAATATACAATCTATTTAAAGCAAAGGAAGAGTAAATATAAAATGTGACAGAAAACAGTGTATAAAGTTGAAAATTTTATCATCTGGCTTTGTACAGAAAAAGTTGGCCAACCCCAGTTAGTTCTCAAGGGTGAAGTGTTAGACCCATGATTGCTTCTATTGTTATTTTGAAATAATTAGTTAAATGTTTGTATAAAATAATGCAGAATCATATGGGAATCAAAGGTGATAATTTATTTTTAAAAAACTCAATGATTTTGCTTAATTAAATTATATTCATTTGAAATTTTAAAATGTGTAAAAAAATAGTCATTAGAAGGGGCCTAGCAAGGTGGCTCAGTGAGTAAAGGCACTTGCTGCCAAGCTTGACAACCCAGGTTCAGCCTCAGGGATCGACAGTGTGAAGGAGAGACATGACTCCCATATGTGTGCCATGACACTGCACACACATGCACACACACGCACACACACACACACCACACGTATTCACGTATACACACATACATTCACACACACACACACATATGCATGCAGTTACACAGACACCCACCCAGACACGCACACAGACACACGTGCATGCATGTAAAAAGATTCAATTTCAGGGAAATTTTAAAAGTAGTCAACCAGTATCTATAAGAAATGATTTCTTTTAGCTGTCAGGGCCAGACTCCAAGAGCTGATCACATTTTCACCCTTTGAGTAGAGGGTTTCCTGGCATAGCAACCAGGATTAGTTAGCAGAGGAAATCTAGGGTCAACGAAAGGAACTGAGTGGGCAGGGCAGCATGGTCTTTTACAAGGGAAGTGTATGGGTTTGAGATGGAACGAGGGTTGTGGGGGGGAGGAGTTTAGAGGGATGGGCAATGTCACTAAGTCTGATGCATGTTCTGAGGCACATTGACCTATGGGCCTGGGAGAGGACCAGGATTTAGCCCATCTTGTCTTCTTATTGTTGAGTTTGGAGATCTTTCTAGATTTGGAGTATGAGTCTCTTAACATAAGTATTTGCTCTTTATATGATTTTCATATAGCTGTGATAACTTATTTTCTGTTTTCTATCTTCAGTGTTAGGTTTTTTTTTTAAAAAAAAAAAAACAACCTTCTCTTTACTAAGGTTACAATTTCCTCTGGTCTTTTTTTTCTGTAACCTTATGACTTTATTTGGACATAATTTATAGCTAAACAACATTTTATTAGAAAAGATGATTTAATTTTTTTCCTTACTTAAACCCACTTAGATATAATTGCCTTGCCTAATTTTGACAATCGTGCAATGGAAAATTGGGGACTGTTGATATTTGACGAAGAATCCTTGTTGCTGGAACCAGGTGATGAACTGACCGAGAAAAGGGCTATGATCTTGGCCGTCATCTCCCACGAGGTTGGGCACCAGGTACATGGTGAAATGTTTTCTTATTTCACAGGGAGGTATTTTCTAGCTGTTTTCCTCAAAGCAGCAAAACCAAGAAATACCAGCCACATACCCAATTTGGGGCAGCAGGGAGGACTTCTTGAAATGTATAACTGTGAAGAAAACAAAGAAGGGCCTGTGTGCTGTCAGTCAAGCTGAGTCCGACCCATTGGGGTACTGTGAACCTGTTTAATTTTATTCTGGGAAGAGGTTCAGTGGAGGCAGCCAGTGTTATCGAGGGGCATATGAGGGCTCACGCTGCATCCACAAAGGGTGTAACCAGGGTGGACATCAACAGCTCTGTGTGCTTCATATTGGGATCTTAAAAGTCTAGGCACTTGACCTGATGGAGAGTCTCACACCTTCATTCTAGTCTCTATTCCATTAACACAAATGGGTCAAGCAAGAAACAACCGTGCGTATGACAGTGGCATTTTCTTACTTGTGTGACTCCACAAATTTTAGGAAAGACCGAATAACACCCTGGTTATACAGTTCACATACACCCATGAATTTTGATCAGTTGACCCAAGTGTTATTTCTTATTGTCACCTGAGTGACATTTTCAAAAAGAAACATAAGCTGCTAACAAATGCTGTAAGAATTTGGTTAGATACCAGGGTTTGGGGAGTTTCATTTTTCTTTCCAAAGACATCTATACTTTTTTCCTGTTCGGTTCAGCTTGAATAGAAAATAACAGCAGCTGTAACACATTACAGAGTATACACGTGCTTGAGTGACTCATGTGAGGTGTGGATGAAATCGCAATCTGAAACACAAATCACAATCTAAATAGTATCTACTTGCAGCAAAGTCCTAGTTACACTATAAGGTGTGAGAATAGCAGGGGTAAGTGAGAGCCTAGGACTTCAACTTCATTGAACTAAACACAACTCGTGGGCAAAGCCAACTGTTTATATTCAGTCAGCCAGCCTAGTGTTTACATATCGTTTTAAAGCAAAGACTGCTTCCAGTGACCAGAACTGACGCAGTCATTTCTGAGAGATGCATGGCTGATATCTCCTCGTGTGAAAACATCAAGGCATGTTTGGGAGTCCTGTTCTCAGACTTTGTTACTGATGACAAATGACATGTATGTCTTTTTGGCATCATACCTCCTTAGTGTGTATTCATAGTAAGGAGAGCTTAAATTTCAGAAATACCTTCTTCTCTCTCACACCTGCAAAAGTGGTTCGGGAACCTGGTGACCATGAGTTGGTGGAGCAATATTTGGCTCAACGAGGGCTTTGCATCTTATTTCGAACTTGGAATAATTAGCTACTTCTATCCTAAGCTTCCGAAGGTAAGTAATTTAAACATTTACCCCCATTATAAAAATAATGAGTATCACTGTTGAAAAGTCTGTAAAACACAGACAAATCCAGTAACTATTAAGTTACTAAAACTCTTATCAAAGGTGAGTTATGCTGCCTTTTATGTTTTCTGTTTTCTTACAAGCTTTTTACTTATTAATTTGTTTAAGTGACACTCATACTGAGGTTTCTTTTGGCTTAAAATTTTTGATATTTAGCCGGGTGGTAGTGGTGCACGCCTTTAATCCCAGCACTTGGGAGGCAGAGGCAGGCAGATCTCTCTGTGAGTTCGAGGCCAGCTTGGTCTACAGAGCTAGTCCCAGGACAGCCAGGGCTAGACAAAGAAACCCTGTCTTATAAAACGGAAGAAAAATTTTAATATTTATTTACTTATTATTGTGTGCAGCAGGCTGCTTGTGCCACAGCATACATGAGGAGGTCAGAAGACAATTAGTGTAAGTCCATTCTCTCTGTCCAACATGTGGGCAAGAGGGGTCAAACTCTGGCTGCTAGGCTTGGGGGCAAGTGTCCTTCCCCGCTGAACCATCCCATCAGCCTTCAGAGAGTTCTAGTGCTGGTGTGGTAGGGTGGCTCAGTGGGTAAAGCCACTTGTTGTGTAAGTCTGACGATCTAGTTTTGATTCTCGGAACCTATGTAAACGTGGAAGAAAAGACCCAATTCTGTGCACTCCCATATACATCGTGCACAAGAGAATAATTTTTAAAAGTTTCTAATGTGTCTTCGCTCCATATACCATCATGAACGCTTCTATATATCATTAAATCCACTTGGAAATTTTTTTTCTGTGATGTGAACCCACAGTGTCTGGGAAGTGCTGAGATGGAGCACTCACTTAACACCCCAGTCCCACACCACCCCCTCTGTTATCTCCAGATCACCTAGATCATCCTCCCTTCTATCGCCTGTCACTCTGCAGTGTCTCCCCCTTCCTTCCCTGCACTGAGCACAGGGCCTGTTGTCCTGGAAGGGAGTCTGGTCATCATTCTACAGATCAGGAGAATGAAGTGTTAAAAGCTTTAGTGATTTATCTGAGATCATTTCCTGTCTGGGACAGAGTTGACTTTGAAACATAGTTGTCTAATGCTAGTCTGATGGCCAAGATGATGATGATGGAGACTGCTAGATTTGCCATTCACCACCTCTTCAAGACCCAGGGTCTCGAGGACTCCCTATCTCCCGTCCTGGTATTTGTTACCCAGTGACTTCTCTGTCTTTCTTCTCCCGCCTTGTTCAGAAAAGTAGCAGGCTAGTTGATGAACCAGACAGCAACCTTCTTGTGTGTAAGCATGGTTCTGACCCTAACCCTGGGCCTCAGGCCTGTCAGTCAAGGACTCCACCACCATCCAGCAGGACCCCTGCATCCTCCTTCTGCCTTTCTTACCACCGTAAGCTGAGATGCACAGTTGAACAACTGAGCTAAGAGGAGTTTCCTGTAGTCATTGAACAGGGCTGCTGAGCATCTGTCACATACCATGCAACAACTGTCAGTAAATATACACTCATGTGCAGAGTATCACAGACTTCATTTGTTCAGTCCTAGGAACCATAAATGATGATGATAAATAGTCTAAAGTGGTGAACTCCTACGGAGCAGGCTTTATTTTCAGAGCATTTTGCTGGAAACTATAAATTAATTTAGTCTTTAAACCGACTAAGTGAGGACAATGTTGTTTCCCCCGTTTTGAGACAGTAAAATGAATGTAAGAGATAGAAATGGTGGCTTATATGAGTAAAAGAACTGTTAAGAAAGTAAGAAAAAAAATGATTGATGATCCACTGTCTTGACAACTGCCTGTTCATTTATTGTAACACCTTGCTTTTCATAAAAGTTTTATCTGTTATACGTAGAAAAGAAGAACTCCATCTGGGGCTTGACCAAACTAAGTTTGGCTTTGGTTCCTTCCGATTTATCTTTCTGTTCATTTGTAATATAACAGTTGTCTTAGGGGATGGTTATGAGGACCAAGTAACAAAAACTCAAAATGTTGGTAAGTAAAGTAGTGCCACTATGGGAATACATACATGAGAAGCATTGGGAAGGATTATACTAAAGCCAAAATTGTGGTAGTGATTATCTTAGGGCATGAATTATGGAGTTTCAAAATTTTTCCCTTGTGTCTATGGCATGTTGATCAAAATGAGACACTCTCAAGAACACTAACAAAACCTACACTTAATGAATAGGCTCAAACCTGTTCAGGGACTTCTAAATACTTGCTACATGGAGTATGATTACTGAACTAGCAATAGGAGAGCTTTAGAATTCTACATTCTGTAGTTACTACACAATTCCCAAATGATCCATTTTCCATTAAAATTTCAGACAGAGCCAGGCATGGTAACTTACATCTACCATCTCAGCTATTTAAGAAGCTGAGGCAGGAGGATTTAAAATTAAAAAACAACCTGGGTTATACAGCAAGGCATCATCTCAAACAATAAAGTTGTTGATACATTACTCTATGTTATAGGCCTCCCATTTCTAGAAGAGCAGATTTTGGCAACAACCTTGAGGTAGTTAATATTATTAAACTGACAAAGTCTTGAATCACCTAATAGCCAGTCTTCTGGGTAAACATATATAAGATTATATATAAGCATATATAAGCTACACAGAGAAACCCTGTCTCGAAAAACCAAAAAAAAAAAAAAAAAAAAAAAAAAAAAGAATAGCCTTTGGATGTGCCTACTATCTAGATTAGGATATTATATTATTATTATTATCTAGATTAGATTATCTAGAGTGGGTTAATTAAGGTGGAAAGACCCACCTTAATTATGTGCAATACCATGGACCAGGGGTCTGATTAAGTTATAAAGAGAAAGTGAACTGAACACTAAGACCCATTTCTCTCTGCTTCCTGACTGTTCATGAAATGTAACCAGCTGCCTTGAGCTCCTACTGTCATGACTTCTCAGCCACAATGAATTGCATTCTCTGTCAGGGACCAGTCCTGATCTTCGAAGGGTTCTTGAGTGGAGGAGTGAGGAATTGAGAAATAATAGGAAGAAATATAGATGTAGATGAAGAAAAAGATAGAGACACAGCAAAGCTTCAGGAGGGCCCTGGGTCAATACCCAGTGGCCCTGAGTTTATTCATGATGGGCTTTTTATACATCAGCAAGGGGAGAGGCAAAAGACCTCCCCCTTTCAAGGCTGAGGTATAAAATACCAACAAGTGTAGACCCTTCAAAATACCTGGTAACCACGCCTTTGGCCAAATCATACTATTATGCAGCCTTGTTGGGAAAGCAAGTTCAGACTTTCTGACCTTGAGTAAGGCCTCACTAGGGAGCCTCTTTGGGCCCCCACAACTTTCAAACCATAAACCAAAATGAACCCATTCTTCCTTAGTTTACTTTTGGCAGTATGGTATATTTTGTCATAGTAACAAGTCAAGTAACTAATATAAGCCTAATTGATGGTATTGCTAATCAAAATTTAAGTGAGGAATACAAAAGAGTTGATCAGAATGTTAACAAATGAAAGTAGATAAGAATAGGAATGTCTACCGGATACTGATGTGGTATGCAGCATGAGAAGTCAGTTCGGAATTTCAATTGGTAGGGATTTTAGGCTTTACCTGAGTATCAGGGGCTAACTCACTCACCAGGGTGCAGAATAACTCATCTGTGCAACATCTCTCCCAATCTCTGTTCTGTTTTTTTATTTTTAATCCCAAATTCCTCTTTGGCTGTAAATTAGTTTTCTTTCTAGTTTCACATCAGAGAGAAATTGTTCTTGCCATGTGCCCATGTGCCAGTGTCTTAAACAGTCCTGTGGCTCCCAATACAGTATAATGAACTGCTGTCTCAGAATACATGAACTACAAACACTTGTATCTAGTCTGTAGATTCCTTTCCAGTTGTAAGTTACTATGTCAGCATCATTGTCAATTTATATGTCCAGTGTTTTTGGTTTTTTTTTTTTTGCTTTGTGACTATGCATGGAAAAACAACAATCAGTTTTAATGAGCCATGGATTCAATTGACAATACAATCTAGTGGATTGAAACTACATAGAGACAGTGCTGGGAACCTATCTTGATGAGAAATACATGACTCTTAGGAATCACACTCTTTTGTAATTAGCTTCTTAAAAATCAAAATAAAAGATAGAAATAGGAAGGAAGATGGCCTATCATTTTGTTACTCAAGGAATTCTAATGTTTGGGGCATATTGTGATTCAGATATTTTTCAAATATTCTTTCCCCATTCAATATGGGTTTTGGAAGTTATGTTAGGAATGTTGGATTTTGTATTTCTGTAACTCTCAGAAGTTAATGTGGCTCAATCTTTTCCTTTATAGAATGAGATCTTTTTTTTTAACATTTTACATGGTGTCCTTAGAGAAGATCATGCCCTGGAGTCTAGAGCTGTGTCCACTGAGGTGGAAAATTTCACAGAAACAAGTGAAATAAATGAACTCTTTGACATATATACTTACAACAAGGTAAAAACACATTTACGTTTTTTTCTGTTCTCATGCAGAGTTGTGTGGAGTGGATTCTAAGGACTATAAAATGCTAAAACTTTGGGTTAAAGTAACTTTAATCTTATTGTCTAATCAATGTCAGAAAATACTTTAAAGTCAGGCTGCACTTAGCAAATATTATTAGTGAGGTCATATTAGATATTGGGCATATCTATTATTATAAACAGACTTATATACCTTGATGCTTTAAAAGCAAACTTTTCAGAGTCTCTCTCTCTCTCTCTCTCTCTCTCTCTCTCTCTCTCTCTCTCTCTCTCTCTGTGTGTGTGTGTGTGTGTGTGTGTGTATGTGTGTGTGGAGCAATCATAGCAATACTCCTGCTCTTTAGGGCTGCTAGGCCTCCTAGTAAAGGAGCAGAGGATGATAAAGATGGAATGGCCTTTTGGAATGGGTCTAAGATGATTACAGCAGTCTTAGCTGCACCAAGCCCCCTTTTTTTAAATCAACAAACTCTTGATACAATTGCATCAAATAAATCAGTAAACTCCTGATGCAACTCCATCAAATCTAAGGACTCCTCAGCATCATCATTAACATTAACAGGTTAACATCATAATTCTAGTATGAATATTACTATATGCAATTATAACTCTCACAAACTTACATCCAAAAGCAAATTCTCAAAAGAACTATTTACACTTTACAAATTTTAGCAAACATATAAGAGCAATCCCTTAATAGAACTTTACAAAACATAGGGTACATTAACACAGGCAAACATTAATCCATTCAAGGGACAAGAATTTTTTTTTAATTTTAAAGAGACTGAGGAATATTAACTCCCCCTTTTCTTTATAATTTTTAAGCTGCATCTTGAACCTGGATAGATTTCCTCATTTCTACATAAACAGTTTCATTTTTTACACAAAACAGTTCCATAAATAGTTCCATTCCTACACCAGTTTATGAGTCACCACAGTTAATAAAAAATATATATGCACACACAAAACAATTCATAAGTCATCCCAGTTGATAGAGCCTATGTGCATAAGTAAAGTCAAAATTGTACCATTGCAATTGAATCACTCCTGTCCGTACCATTTCTTAGGTCTGAAAAGTTAAAAAAGACAGTTCTGGTACCAGTCTTAAAAGTTCCTCTGAGTGCTCAAAATCAGGGCCTGGCTTGTCAGCTACCCTGAAGTCCCTGTATAGCAGTCCAAGTCATAATGACTCTGAAGCAAACAGCTCCAAATATGAGGAGTCCCATAACCAAAACTTTTTTGCAGTTTCCCTTGCATGGAACCCAGTTCAAGCAAGTGTCTCTGAAGCCTTCCTCTGAGCTACAGAGGCACTTTGTGTTAGCTTTTCCCTAGGCAAAAACTGCTCCAGGGCAAAAGCTGCTTGCTGAGCTGGTGCAGAGTCCTCTCTGAGAAAGCACTCCTTGCATCCAGCATGAACCACAAAGCTGTCTCTCAAAGGAGCCATGCAAACTGCCAGCAAACAGAAACTGCATAGCCCTATCTGCTGACTCTATTCAGCTTTTATAGTCCCTGTCTGTCTGTGCCTCCAGTAACTGGATCGTCCTCCCAGGACCCCTGTGTTCTGACGTCCCAAGGGTACTCTTATGCCTTGCACTGAATGGATGAATGGTGCATGCTGCTACATGCTCTCAAGCATCACCTCAGGTCCAGGAAGAAAACCAGCCATGGCAAGTTGTGGCTGCTGCACCCTGGCTCCCATTTCCAGATTTGCTGCATTGCTTACAAGGCCAAGTGCTGCCTCAGCCCCCCCCCCCCCACACACACACATTCTGCCACTGGGAGCTAGGGCTGCATCAGTCTCAGCAGTTCCCACAGAGCCCATTCTAACTGTTCAGCCTGGAGCTCTGTTCTGCCTCTGCCTCACCTCCACAGCTCCCTGGGCTCCAGCACATCTCAGCTGCTCCTCCAGCTGCTTCTGCTCATGTGGCTGATGTTGCTTTTTTGCCTGGGGCAGCAGTCTCTCTGCAGGGTTTCTGCTGCTCAGCACTGCTCTCTGTTAGCCTCTCCAGAGATGATTTGCTGGACTCTGGCTGCCAGGAACTCTGGCTCCAGGTGACAGACCTGCTCTGGCCGCTGGGGTCCAAAGTCTCTGCTACACTCCTAGCCTCCATGTGCCACCATTTGCTTCTCTCATTGTGTGGTGTCTCTGCTTGGCTTGTCAAGGTTGCACCTTGGTAACCTCAAGCCATGTCCTTCTGCTGGCTAATTGCATTCTCCTCACCTCGACTCAGCCATGGCAGAAGGCGTGCAGAACCCTGCTGTTTGTGCTGGCTCTCAGTGTCATTGGCAGCTTCTGGAACTTCTAAAGCCACTGGGACTGCTAAATTCACAGTGGCTGTTAGGTCCTGTCCATGCTTTGGTGAGGGCAAAAGCTGCTATGCTAAATTACTTTATATTAAACCTTCACCATATTCCTACACCTAAAGCCTATATTCTCCACCTTCACCAAGACTTTTTTACAACTTTAAACCTAACTTAGTAAATAGATAAAGACACAGAGAGATACTTGCTGCAGCGTAACTCTTAACTACTCTGCTTCATACTTACAATTTTACTCCCGAAGATTAGAATATCACCACCTCCTTTAATTAACTACTAGGCATGCCCCCTGCTCCGCAGAGTTCCTTCTTTCTATCCTCTGTACCTAAGTCCCATGTTCAGGGCGCCATCTGTGGGAGTCTGTGGGAGTCCAGCTCCAACCTGCTCCCACCTTTGAAGGGTTCTTAGGTGGAGGAGAGAGGAATGAGGAGATGTCAGAGAGAAAGAGAGACCTAGACGATGAGACGAAAGACAGAAACACAGGATAGCTTCGGGAAGGTCTGGATCAATACCCAACAGCCTTGAGGTTTATTCAAAAGGGCTTTTTATAATATGCCAAGGGGAGAGGCAAAAGACTTCCCCCTTGTACGATCAAAGTACACCATACAGCCAAGTGTAGACCCTCCCAAACACCAGGTAAGCATGCCCATGGTCAAATCATCCCATTATGCAGCCCTGCTGGGTAAGGCAAGCTCAGATTCTCTGACCCTGAGTAAGTTCTCATTAGGAAGCCTCTGTGGGCTCCCACAGGTCTCTCACTGGCCTGGGGCTTGCTGATTTGGTTAAGCAGGGTAGTCATCCAGCACCAGGGATTCCCCTGTTTTTGTCTCCCCAGTTCTAGGATTACAAGCACATAAGCTTGGCTTTTGTACATGCGTTCTAAGGGGAGAGCTTAGGTCCTCCTGCTTGCTTGCCCAGTGAGCGCTTCGCCGCCGGCTGAGCCATCTCCCCAGCTCCAAACTTCTGTTTTGTAGAATTTTATCCTTACATGCAAATATTGTAATTTAAACATTTTTGTGTACCCCGACTCTTTATATGTAGGACATTCGCTCACTCTTTACTCACTACTCAGTGACAATCTGCTATTTTACTGACATGTTTGAGGATAATTTGAACAGGGAATTCAATCAGAATTGCAATCAGAAGCATTAGCATGGAACAGTGTTCATAAAAAGGGAATGTGTCTGTGTGTAAATACTGACTTTTGTCCAGTTCATGAATGGCTTTGTATGTCCCCTTAGGGAGCATGTATGGCCCGGATGCTTGATGGTTTCCTGAACCAGCATGTGTTTATCAACGCACTTAAGGTGAGTTGATAAGAGTGTTATCCGACTAGCAGCAAACATAAATGGCTTTGGCATCCTATTGCCTTAACCCCCAATTCCTCTGTTTTCACAGTCATATTTGGAGACTTTTTCTTACTCAAATGCTGAGCAAGACGATCTGTGGAGACATTTTCAAATGGTAATTGTCCTTCTTTGAGACATTTTCTTGCTGAGTAACATGGTCTGATACAGTACAAGAGCAGGAGGCCATGAGTGAACAGGAACATGATTTTTCCCTATTTCTAAAACCCTCTTCCCTGTACTTCTATGCCCTAGAAAGTGACCTACTAGGTCCCTAAATATGTATGTGTTCAATGAATAAATGGATGAATGAATAAGTAATCATTCATATTGCCAGTCCTCTGTGTCTGTGGTTCCATATCTGTATATTCAGCCAATCCAAGATGAAAAATAGAAAAAGTTCTGTTTGTACTGAACATATACGGACTTTTCTGAGGCCATTAGTCCCCAAACAATACAATGTAATAACTATTATGTTCACATACCATTTGCACTGTGAAGGTATTACAAGTCACCTGTAGATGACTTGCAGTACCTACTTACATAGAAACACTGCTCTATTTTACATAAGGGCATCAGCATCCATGATTCTGTTCCCATGAGTGTCCTGGAAAAAAATCCCCTCCCAGATACCAGAGGGAAAGCCATGTATGGATAAACAGTTCTGAATATCAATCACTGAGGATTATTATATAATGAAGTAATAGGATAGGATGGTTGTTTCATTTCTTTGGGGGAGATTGCTGCTTCACAAGGTCTTGCTGACAAACCATGTCTGTCTTTTGTTATGATTTTTCAAAATCAGGCCATAGATGAGCAGAATATAACCCATTTGCCAACAACAGTGAAAAGCATAATGGACAGCTGGACATACCAAGGTGGTTTTCCAGTCGTCACATTAAACGTGTCTACAGGTGTCATGAAACAAGAGCCATTTTATCTCGAAAAGGCTGAAAATCGAACTCTTGCAAACCACAAGTAGGTTATTTTATTCCTCTATCATCACTAGGCTTGGGGTTGAGCAACGTTGGGATGGAAACCAACCAGCAGTGAGGAAGTGTAACACCTGCTGAGCACATGCCCTGCTGCTGGGTGACTCCCTGAAGGGATGGCACTGTGTACGAACTAGGGTAAGGCAGATCCCTAAATACCAAGCAAGGCCAGAAGCCTAAAACTAGGGATCAATGTGTGCCCTTACCTGGGACTTAGTCACGTGAGTGACCAGACCATTAGAATTCTACTTGCTCCTCATTGTCAGACTGATGTAATGAATTACTCGGGATTCGGGTGAGAGACAAGAAGATGTCACCAGTGGCACAACTTTTCAGAAAAAAAAGAGGGTCCTGTTGCAATCTTTCCCCTAGACATAGAACCAAGAGGTCGATGCCTCCTTGAGGACAGTGCTGTGCATATGTGTTTGCGTTATGAGATGCAAGTGTGTGTGTGTGTGTGTGTGTGTGTGTGTGTGTGTGTGTGTGTGTGTGTGTGCATTTAAAGCTTTATCTCCAACTTTAAAATGATAGCCTTTAGACCTGATTCAAACACTGGCTTCCACGAAAGTCAGACTGTGTGTAGGTCTTATTTAAGTCCTCTGAGCTCCAGTTGCATTGTCTGCAACATAAATAGAATGGGGAGGCATGTAAAAATGCAGCGGTGAGTGCTAGCATGCCGCTCACCACCTTCTTCCTTCCTGCCTTCTGTTTCTTCCCTGATTTGTTAAATTGCAACTGTTTAAAATAATTTTGACCCTCACATCTTGTTGTAGTAGATATCAGCGCGCACACACACGCACTAACAATAATAACAACAAATCAAACAGTCCTACTCTTTCTTCACAACCCCAGGGGAGAGAAACTGAAGGCCAGTAGACTGCTCTATAACGTTCTGAGTCTTTGGAGAAGTAGGTGGAGTCTTAGGTGTGCAGATAAACACAGACTCACAGCTAAAGGACTAAGATGCCAGGTGTGAGAGTTGAAAGAAGACTGGAAACAATTGCCTGAACTGTGTGTCTTTCTTAATGACTAATGCAGTCCTTGTGGTCAGCTGATTCATCCAGTTCACAGACACCAGCGGAGGAAAATGTAGACATTCAGTTAATACAAATGTCACGACTGATGCCTGTGGACATGTTTCAGGTGGAGAGAAAGTGCAAGGCTCAGAAGTGTTTTGAAATGTTGGCAAGCTTTTCCTTTTTAAGCTACCCTTCACCTCTCTGGGCATGGACAGATTTGGGTCTGCCTGAAGTATTTGAATAGCCCAGAGTGAGGCCAGGTGGCTATAATTTAGTAAAATCAGCCCTTCCACATTTCAGACAGAAGGCAGTCACAGCAACTGTCTGTGTTCTAAGAGGTAAGTCTGTAAGAGACAGCAAGAGGGAGAGGTGATAAACAGTCAAAGCAACATTGGCTGACAGAAACAGCAGCGAGTAACCCCAAGAGCAAAGCCCGAGTGCCTGCCGGGATTGACCATGGACTTGGAGGCCTGCTATTTTGGCGTCCCTTTAATTTGGACTGAGTGTATATTCTTGTGTGTGAAAATAGCTAATTCTTTTCTTTTTTCCCAAAAAGTAACACATGGATTGTCCCTATTTTTTGGATGAAAAATGGAACCACACAACCTTTAGTCTGGCTAGACAAGAGCAGCAGTAAGTAAATGTGTGTGTGTGTGTGTGTGTGTGTGTGTGTGTGTGTGTGTGTGTGTGTGTGGTGTGTATGTATTATATATACATATATATACATCTTCATATATACACACATATAAAAACAGAGATAGACATTTTGTTAAAATGTTGAGTTTTTGAAAACCTGATTGCTGAACGTAGAGCTTTAAAGACACACTTCAAATTAAAACTGATTATACATGAAAATGTAGCTATATGGCAGACCAATATATACTTAAGAGCTATCTTAACTTTTATTTTATTGGCTAATTGTTTAGAAGTATGGATGTATTATATATTTTTTTAATGTGCTGAAATTTTTTTAAGAACCTTTCTTTTTTTTGGTAGTGGTATTCCCTGAGATGCAACTTTCAGATTCTGACAGTGACTGGGTGATTTTAAACTTCAACGTGACTGGATATTACAGAGTTAATTATGATGAGTTAGGTTGGAAGAAATTAAATCAACAGCTTGAAAAGGATCCTAAGGTAGGGGCTGGTTTGGGTGTTTTAACTAAGCATCATCCACTGTCCATTTGGAGGATGTGCTTTCTGATGGAAAGTCCCTTCTCTACCATCAATGATGGAGACAGTTTTATTTTCATTTTTAGGAAGGGCTGATTTTGGGTGAATGTATATTTTTGAACATTCTTCTTGTTTTTCCAAAATAAGTTTACCTTTTGAAATGAGAATCAGAGTATATTTTCCTAAGTTGCTTCAATGCTTGATTCTATTTTTCACAATGAAAATATCATTTGTTGAATTCATCATGAGAGTTAGAGACCGTGTAGGTAAAGCTGTACGTAAGGTTTCTAAGCTTACAATTGGCACATAGTATATGCTAAAAATTACTGACCTATATTCTTAAAAATATTCTTCTCACTCAGAGGAGCGAGTTTAATTTCTGAAACATCAATAGTCCACTATCACTTTATTTTTAAAAGCTTATGAATCATGATTAAATCTATACATGGTAAATGGTTGGACAGGTCATACCAGTCAATCTTTAGTTGATTGACCTAAGCAAAGCTTAACCAATGAAGAACAGGGTTCAAAGCATGAGTAGGCAGGGATGCTGGCTTTGGAGTCTACATGACTTCATGTGGAACTTTGGACAGTCCACTTAGCTGAAGTAAAATCTGTCCTGAGTTTCTCTGTTGGGGACACAGCAGCCTCCACAGCAGAGGACAATGTACAGCACACTGGCCCAGAGTTTGGGCTATGGGTCAAGAGATGTCCGCTCACAGTTTTGTATTGCTTGCCTAAGGTGTGATATTGGGCTGGCATTTGACTAGTGTTTGATTTTCCTCATCTATATAGTGGTTTTAATAGACTAATCTTACTCTAAGATGTAAGGCTAACCTGAAAGTGTTCCCGTGGAGATGAGGAAAGATGGTGCATTATGTTTAATGGAGGCCAGACATAACTCAGGCACTCAGAATATGTTCAGTAACTTAAGAAAATGTTATTGATATTTGAAATAAAGCTATAAAAGCCACTTATAATATTTCTTCTTAAAACCTCTTTCAGATGAGCTAAATTCTTAGTGGCTTCTTATGGTACTATAAGCCATAAAGGTACGAAGTTCTGTCATTAGGGCAATCATTCCCTGACACCATTGTAGACTGATTTATTGAAGCACCTAACTAAACAACTTTGGCAACACAATTGGTGACCAAATAAGACAGACTTAGTGTGACTCAGTGTATCTAGAAAATGCAAACGTTGCAACTCCCACAATGAAATGAGACTATTAGCAAAGAGAGAATTAGGATTGGTGTACTCAAATGCTTGGGAGTGCTGGGAGGATAAGTTCCCTTGGACCAAATGAAAGTGCTGGGAGGTGTTGGAGGAATGACCAGAGACTTTGGGAGCCTCAGAGGACCTAAACTGAGGTTGCAGTATGCGAGCTATTGGTGTTGGGATGATCAGAGAGAAGTCTATAGACTTAGGGTGGTTACTGGTCTCTGCCTCTCTGTGAATATGGGGGCACTGGGTCATGTCAGTGAAGTCTTTAGAGTGCAGATACCATTTAAAATTATCTCTCAGTGCTACAAAAATAGGGCTAAGTAACATTTATTTACGATCTGCTGTGCCAAAACTTTCCTGAAAATAAGAAAGACATTGTAATAGCATTCAATATGTACACTCTCTTTTGGAGAAGTTTTTGAATGTCAGTTTGGGGGTTTGTTTTTTTAACACAGTATGTTTTAGGGGAGTATTTTGGTAACATTTCTGGCAGGTTTAATCATTATAATTGCTATCAGAAGGATTTCATCAAAACCACATACAGAATCAGCAAATTATGGGCCGGTCTTCATAGACACTATTTCTCTACCTATGAGACAATTTCTCAGGAAGGGATTTTTAGGCGCTGATGGTCTTGAATGTGCTGTTTGGAAAATATTTTCCTCCTTTCTTGACCATGTTTGGGTTTCTTCCTGCAGGCCATTCCTGTCATTCACAGGTTGCAGCTGGTGAGCGATGCCTTTGCCTTGTCTAAGTAAGTGTCTTTTCTGCTCTCACCGGTAAAGGGCGTAGCTTGAAAACTTCACAAAAATAATAGCCTTGTGACTACGGAATGGCTCTTTAGTATGCAGAGGCCTTAGCCAGTGAAGAACAGAGTCCAAAGCAGGACATGGTTGCTCCAACCTGTGACTCAGCTCCTGGGAGACTGATGCAGGAGGATTGCTGTGAGACAGCAAAACACAAATAAAAATAAAACCAAACACATAAACTTAAGATTAGGCCAAACTCCATGTTCTCAGTGGACTTTTATAGCATAAATTGTTGTTGGCTATAAATAGACTAACAACTGATATTTTGAAGTTACTCAAAGGTGATGGCTGATGTCTATAATGGTAGTGATATCTGGGATATATTGATATACTGCAGAATCATAAGTTTCATATGTATGTACTAGATTTGTTTAGGATAAGCCATGCCACTGTTTAACCAGAAATATATCCAAGATTTAAATTTTCAATCTATCTATCTACCTATATATATTTTAATTTATATATTCTTTAATACATGTATTTATCATATAATAAATTACCTAGCGTGTCCTCCTTTATGCCTGTCTTATGTGATGAGTATTTGCCATTTCTTTACTGATTATTCCCTCTGAGACCTGTTGCTCAATGCTTGGCCGAAACACCTCTCTAGAGTCACTCTGGCTTGGACACCGCTGGCCACATCCTCCAAGAATCATCCTTTTGGCCTCTTGACCCTTGGATGAGAACCCTTGACTTTCTGACTTCACTTCTTCCCATCACTGTGAGCATCCTTAAAGCACAATTATGTCGCCTTCCTACTTTCCGTGGGATGACTCGTTTGGTCTGATAACTTAAGTGGTTGTTTTATTAGGTACAAGGCTCAGTAAGATGCTCAGATGCTGGAACACAGGATGCTCGATGCTGGAACATAGGATGCTCGATTCTGTTCTAACGGGACGTCTCTCCCTCTTGCCTCCCTTGTCTTGTGTTCATCCTGCAGCCATTTCAATCCATTACCTTAACCACTGAAGGCTATTTTCGTCTCTAAGTTGTCTCTGCTATTTATTGTTCTCTCTCTCCCGTGTGTGTGTGCGTGTGTGCGTGTGCGTGTGCGTGTGTGTGTGTGTGTGACACGTGCCATTCTCTCCATTGCCTAAACTTAAAACCTCAGAGACACCCTGCTGTCGCCTTTCCCACGTCTCATGCTCAGTCACTCAGCATGTCATATCTATCCACTCCTGGTGACGCCTTCTGAGTTCTCACCTTACGACTTCTACCACTTACATATTCAGCCGTTTCTGTCATCTTCCTTCCGGTCTCTCTCCTTAGCTTTCAGCCTCTCGTTCCTTTGAGCTCCCTTGTGGCTTTTAGCACTGCCACAGTAGGAGTTCTAGGCATCAATTCTACCACATTACTTTGGTTACTTAAAAAACCTAGATTTCAGCCGGGCAGTGGTGGCACATGCCTTTAATCCCAGAACTGGGGAGGCAGAGGCAGGCAGATCTCTGTGAGTTCAAGGCCAGCCTGGTCTCCAAAGTGAGTTCCAGAAAAGAAGCAAAGCTACACAGAGAAACCCTGTCTCGAAAAAAAAAAAAACAAACAAACAAAACAAACAAAAAAACCCCCTAGATTTCCTTACCAAGAAATCTTACCTCTTTATCCTGATTTTCAATGGTCTCCTCAGGTTCGAACCACCTGATCTGTTACCTTTGTCTCTCATTAGACACAGAATGACCTGATCCACTTGCTTTACCTCTCACTAGACACAGAACGTCCTGCCTACTGTCTTTGCCAGCCCACCACGGTGCTCCCCACTGCTTCTCCTTCGTCCCAGGCTGCCCTCTCTGCCTTTTTCAATTACACGTGGCCTTCGCTGCTCTTCTCGAGTGTTTCTTTCTTGAGGCCTTCTCTGACTTCCCCTTCCCCCTGGGGTGTTTCCGTGTGTATGCTCTTGCTTTGGAACTTTATTCTCAGTACTCAGCACCTTTTCCGAGACCCCTCCTTGACTTCCTAGCTACCAGCTGAACTTCTCAGTGATGCTCTTAGCTGCAGGCAACTGCAGTGTCCTATGCTGGCTTCTCTGCCCACCAGCCGATGGCAGAGCATTCATCTGAGGAAGCTTGTGATTGATAACTATTGACTGGAATGTATATTGTCGTAAGAACACATAATGAATACTCAATATTCCATAACTCAACAGTTGGCCTGGGTTTTCTACAGCTTCTAATGTGGGTGTTTGGATGAACTGAGCGGATACAAAGGCCTGACACCATTTGTTGAGTTCTATGTTATGATATCATCATACCCATAAAAGAAAGTCTCATTGGACTTTCTCCGCCCTTCTACTTGGTTGGTTTACACATATTGTTGAAGTTAGGCATTGAAAAAATGGAGCAGATATGGGAAGAAAGATCTTTTAGCAGGTCAAGGTTTTTTGAGTGTGTGTTTTTTTAAACCAAACAGAAACAATTATATTGAAATTGAGACAGCACTTGATTTAACCAAGTACCTTGCTGAAGAAGATGAAATCCTAGTGTGGTTTGAAGTCTTGGTAAACTTGATAAACAGGAATGTTATTTCTGATGTGAACAACTATGCTATATACCCATTATTGAAGGTAATTTCATGCTTTGTTATGTGGCTTTTAAATCAACCCTCTTTGCCTCTGTGTTCTGGCCAGCATCTGTGGGTCAGGCCTTTCCAAAAGCAATGTTCTATTTATTCCAGATGTTTGGTGATTTATTTCTTTTTAGCTACAACTGATTATTCTTAGAAGAAAAATCTATTAGCCATAGACCTTGCCTTAGAGATGAGTGAGGAAGAAGCTTGGCAGGGTTTTTCATTTTTGATGAAGTGAGGGTGTATCCAGAAAGAGAGAGAGAGAGAGAGAGAGAGAGAGAGAGAGAGAGAGAGAGAGAGAGTAAAGGAAGAAAGAAAGGCCCAGAAGTGGTAGAAATTATATATCTTCTTCTTAGAGAAAAATAGTATATATTAGGAACAATTTCCCAAAGAAATTTATAGGCAAACAAATAGTTTCTTATCAAACCCTGTTCTCATAACCCTAACTTGTGTCTTAAGGATTCAGCAATTCCAACCTACAAAATATATTCCAGAAAAAAAAAATAAGAGTTTCAAAGTCTCTGTCGATATTAGGAAGAGAAAGATGGAAATCAGCACTATGAATAAAACAATGGCATGCTGCCGTCAAGAGGGGTTAGAAAAAATGGAAAAATCCCACCAGTAGCTCTTCAATAGGATATGGAAGAAAGACGTCAAGACTGAGATCAGAGTAGACACTTAGAAGCAACCCTCTGGACAGTCAAAGTCCACAAGTGAACCAGAGACTGGTGATTGCAAGTGAGTGTCTGGGTCATTCTGAGGGTGATGTTGTAAACACCTCAGGTTCCAGGTGCTCCTTTTTCTCATCTCCAAAGGAATATCAGGAGCTTAACTGAGTGTAGGCAGGGTGATGACAGGAGGGTTGCTGGCCTCTGATGACAGGTTTTGGCTAAATCAGTACAAACTGAGTGTTGCACTGCCTCCAAGAGTTTTGGTGGATTGATATAGCACCTAGTTGTTTCTCAGTGATGTTAATGACTGCCTGACTTTTGTAGCCTCGTGTTTACCAGCTGACAGCATTTGGGCTGATAGCAAATGACTCTCCCTGTGGTTTTCTGTGTGAAGCAACCGAACCCGCAGAAGTATAAAAATAAATCAGTGTATTTAGTAACAAAGATCATTTCTGAAAAAGCCTGTTGTTCTTTATTAATATATTTCAGATAAACAATAATACACTGGGAATTCAGTGTTGTGTGCCAGAAATAATGGTAACTTTTCTTTGTGATTTGTAGAAGTATTTACTAAAGAGACTTAACTCAATATGGAATACTTATTCAGCTATAATTCGAGAAAATGTGGCCACATTACAAGACAATTATTTAGCTCTGTAAGTATTTTTACATAGTTATAACTGAATAAAATGACTTATCTTAATAGGTGGGCTTCCAGATTTGCGAAAGAGAATCTTTTTTTAATAACTAAAACCGTAGTATCTATTACTGAGTCTGTATGCTATTTGAGAATTGTAACTCCAGACCTGGTGAACTATGTGTGTCCTCAGAGGAAGCAATAACTTGAGTTCTTAATTGACCTGCAATGTACATGTGTGTGCACATACAAGTTTAAACCCTGTATTTTCAAAAATTAAATTACTGATTAAAATTTTAAGTGTATCTGCTACAGGTGAAGGATTGTGCTAAGGATTTCTACTCTCCACCAGCAAACCACAGGCCATGGGAAAGCCACCAGGGGAAAATAGACTTGACGTTAGGATTTTTGCTCTGGACACTTCTCAGCTCCCCTGTCAGAGAAGACAGACAGGACTCAGTGCAGAAGACAGAGTTCCTTGCAGAGTAAAGTGGAGGAACCTTAAGGAATTAAAGTAGACAATGTCGAGAGTTGTGCCAACCTACATGATAGCACATGTTTTAAACTAAAACTTATCTGAGGGGCCATTTCCTTATGGCCAGCCTGTTTGGACTAACACTCAAGAGAAGAGCTAATGATTCGTCTATGTTCTTTATCAGAAAGCCTCCTGCTAGATAGGATTTTTTTTCCTGGCAATTCATAAAGTCACATCTCTACATGGTGCCAGATGTACCATGGTACCTACTCTTTTGACTAAAACTCATATAGCAGAGCAGATAAAAAAAGAACTAAAGAAAAATCTATAAAAATACACATTTTAGGAGGAAGAAACAACGTTCTTAATGGGTGGCCCTCCACAAAGCTCTGCTACCTCCATCTTCCTCCCCTTCATATACATATTTTAAATCTTACTGAGAGACACTTGTGATACTTCCCCTTCCTTTATCCATCACTGAAAAACTGATGTGTTACTAGGGACACAGGGGGTGAGGGCTTAGAACTGATTAGAGATGGGGTTCATCCTCAATGTCCTTCCAGCCCACTAGTTTATAACTAGTTACCTCTCATTTCTCTGTATTATTGTTAGCAAGAGTTGTACCATGACACAAACATGAACTAGGTGGACAGTAAGTACTGAAGGGTCACTTGTATATGATCATGCTTACCGACTGGAAATGACTGTCCTATGGGGAGCAAGTACATTTTCACGATGCTTTAGGAAGGAGCTGAAAGGCAACATGAGGCTGTGGTACCTCTGTTTCATTTGTGTGTGTGTGTGTTGGAATTCTAGACTTGGGGGTGGGTGGTAGCCAACAACTATAGCTACAGCTTCTAGAAACATCAAACCTAAACCAATCAGACCAAACAAGAAATAAAACTACACAAAAATATGATCATTTTTACTCGGGACTATCCTGCTGAGGGAGTAGAAATCAGTGCCATAGGCTACAACTAGAAGTCCATAGAATTGGATAGCTAAGTATGTAGATGGTGTGCGTGTGTGCGTGTGTGCGTGTGTGTGTGTGTGTGTGTGTGTGTGTGTGTGTGTGTGTGTGTGTGTGTGTCGGGGGCAAATTGTGTGAATAAACAGGAAGGCACAGATGCACCCAACCGTGCAACACATGTGTTAACCAGACACAGTCTAGGCTCTCGTAAAGCAGACTGGAGTAGCTTACATTTGGTAGCATCCTGGGCCAGTGTTTCTCCTCCAGCAACTTCTGGGAAAGGCTCATTTTTACAGAATCCCATCTTGTTGCAGCTAGCCCAAGTTTGGGCTGGGTGGGGAGAGGGAGTGAACATATAAACACATTTCTAAGAGTATCTGTCAGGGGACCTCTACCCATGCACATCCCAAACTGCTTATCACAACATCGGATCAGGCTGAGTTGAGATGGAGGGTGGGGCAAAACGGCACTGGTTTCTTTATTTTCGGTCTGGCCTCTTTTGCCCAGACCCCAAACTTAACAACTGTAGCAAGACACACAACAAAGCATGGCTTCCGTGTGTTCATTCTTGTTGGGGCCCTTCTTCGAACTCATTTTGAATAGTAATGCAGACCTGTGCTTAGCTGTAAGAATAAAACAAACTCCTCTCTTTCTCTTTGGACGTATACACAGTAATTGACAGGAGGAAGAACCAGATGCTTAGCGAGGAAAGCAAATTGTATTCGGGGAGAAAGGAACTTTTCTTGAGTAGAGAAAGCATTTTATTTTTTAGCATATTAGATCGGATACGCTACGGATATTTTTAATACACAAAGGGATTATTGAAGAAGAGGGGGAGAGTAAATTGACAACAGATGCGGAGTGTGTGCACACCCATGTGTCTTCAAGGGAGATAAATGACGGCAATCATTTAATTCTAATTTCGAAAAAATACTATTTGTTAGGAGCTTTTCTGGTGTCCCTGAAAAACAAAACTCTCTGAAAATATTTTTCTGAATCTTTAATAAACTCGTCATCAGAAAAGCTATTTTTTAAAAAGCAACTCGATGTTGCTAGAGGATATTTTAAAGTTCTCACTGTCATGTGAAACGCACATTCTTAGAAGCAGAAAAAAATGAAGGTGATAATTCAACTTTAACAGCTTCTCTTTGGCTTTTTCTTCAAGGCTGTCACTGGAAAAATTTGTTGAAGCTGCCTGTTGGTTGGGTCTTGAAGACTGTCTTCAGCTGTCCAAAGAGCTCTTCAGAAAATGGATGGCCGATCCAGAGGCTGTGTAAGAGATACAGTGTAGGCCCCTTCCTCAGCTCCTATATCAACGCCCTTGGTTTCTCTACCCTGCTGGTGTGCTTATGGTTGGGAGGGATCTTTTTTTGCTTTCACTTGGTTGAGTTTCTTAATTCCTTTTCAGTCACCCTTTCCTGAAAAACAGATTATCTTTTTTTGTTTATTTTTTTGTTTTGTTTTTTGAGACAGGGTTTGTCTGTGTAACAGCCCTAGCTGCGCTGGAACTTGCTCTGCAGATCAGGCTGGCCTCAAACTCATAGAGATCCACCTACCTCTGCTTCCCAAGATTAAGCTAGGTGGTGGTAGCACACTCGGGAGGCAGAGGTAGGCAGCTCTCTGAGTTCGAGGCCAGCCTGGTCTACAATGTGAGTTTCAGGACAGCAAGGACTAAACAGAGAAACCCTGTCTTGAAAAGCAAACAAACAAACAAAATGATTATCTAAATTAACAGATTAGGACTCATTCAGTAATGAGTTGAGATCCATGGTCTTTGGCTGCTGGTGTATTATTCTCCCACTAAGTGCTTACAGATGGGCAGGTTTGGGCTTGTTTTACATCTTAATAGGTTGCTCTTTGGGTCGTTTGGTAACGTTGTATCTGTGAACATATTGGAGTCCTGTCCCGCCACCCATCTGAGTTTGCAGTCTCACTAAGAACTGAGACTCTGGTGTTTGGGACTTCATTGCCTTTTGTTTATCACCTCAGATGGACTCTAAGGAAATGTGATAAAGAGACCCAAGACCAAACTAACTTATTGATGTATGTTGCGTTATTGTAATTTACTTCTTTGAAAACTCAACCGATATGCTAAATGAATGTTCTTTTCTTATCATAATGCTGATAGTAGTTCCCCCTTTAGCTCTTTAGATCTTCAATCTTTATGGCTCAGATATCAAATAACTTCACTAAATTCCTACTTCTGAATATATGACTAACTTGGATAACTGTGTTCCTGAGCTACTGTGGGGAATGCCTTCTCCTGTTCATGCCTTTCAGAATACCTTATCCAATTCAAAGAGTCGTTTTATGCAATGGCATTGCTTTGGGAAGTGATAAGGAGTGGGACTTTCTGTTAAGTTTCTACATCAATACAACCGAGGAAGAGGCAAGGATCCATCTTCTTCAGGCATTGAGCTGCAGTAAAGAACCATGGCTACTCAACAGGTGAGATGATCAACTTACCTCACACGCGCTTGCCGGAGAAACACAATCCACATCCCAAAACAGAGCAAAAAAGAAACAAACATATTTGTGCATTACTAACTTAGAACCATGAGCTTGTAAAAAAAAAAAACATGAAAATGAACTTTTTATTGGGGTTTAAAGCTTGCTTATATTTTACAACTGGACTCTTGTAGATTTATGGAGTATGCCATCACTGTGTCTCCGTCCCCTTTTAATGACACAAATATAATAGAAGTTGTGGCGGCATCTGAAGTTGGCCGGTATGTGGCAAAGGACTTTCTAATCAACAATTGGCTGGCTGTGAGTCAGAGGTAAGAAGGAACCCGAGACCTCAATTTCATTTACGTCATTAATTGTTATTTTTTCCTATTTGGATCAGAGAATATAATTTGGATAATTTTTTTTATTGCTTGATAATTTCAAACGTGTGTAAAGATGTGTTTTGATCAAATCCATTCCCTATCCCCTCGCCTTTGAGTCTTCCTCTGCCCACCTGATTATCCCACCCCCCTCACTTCACATGCTCTTTTTTAATCCACTGCCAGTGTGTACACGGATGTAGGCCTTTCTGTAAAGGGGAAACAATGCTCCTTCCAGACACCATAGGCTAGCAAATAAAAGTCCCAGGGCCAGGTATGGGTTATCTCTTTTAAAGTGTTGGTCAGTGGGGTCCCATGAACACCCCAAACATTACAGGCTATTCCCCTTGCTCATGGTACCCTCAGTCATTGACTATGGAGATGTTCACCTTCAGTCTGGCTGTGTCACTGAGGTTCTTTCACTCACTAAAAAAGTGATGGTTTTTCCTGTATCTTGTCTCACCATAAACTAGAAAACATAAAGGATCATTTACCCTCAATTTTGGCTTTCTGTATGAAAATGGATTTGCATATGTTATTATCTATCTCAGTTTCCCCATTATACCCATCAAAAAGTTTCTCTTAAGAAACACTAATTTGAGTAATTCATATTTTTGGTATGAGCATACACCATCCATTCATGTATTTCATGAAACCTACCACACAGCTTTAAGAAACAGTATTACATTAACCTGAATGCTGTGGTTGGATGTTCCTTATCTGGATTCTGTATTATTAAGTTTTCACATTTTTTAGCCTTTAGGATTAGATCTGCTTGCTTCCTAGGTCTTCGTCTGTTCAGTAAAATATATATTAGCATGTAATAATCAGAAAATATGTCCTTGATGGCTGCTTCTTCTAGAACATTATATGCCATATATTTTTAGAAGATAAAAATGAATAATCCCTGCATGTGCTTAGACACTATAGATTTAGCAGATAAAACATGGATAAGGTCCAAGCACCTGAAAAGTTAGAAGACAGCTTTTGCAAAAAGTTTATTCCTTCAGAATAAATACATATTCAGGCTACACATTTTTTGTTTGTTTTTGAAACAGGGTCTTATGTAAGACCAGGCCCTTGAATTCACTATGTAGCTGAAAACTTTCAAGTCTCCAACCTCACATGTAACTTCCAAAATACTAGAATTGCAGCCATGTGCCCATGTGCCCACCATGCCCAGGTGGCTAGAATATAAATGCCAAAGGCCATAGATGTGTGACTACCTCATAGAACAAAGTAATGGATGTTTTGTAAATACTTATTGAGCACCTTTAGAACATGAAAAGGGATAAGGTTTTCTGCATTAGAAAATTTAAAGCTATTAGATAAAAACTCATTTATACTGCACTATTTCTCTAGCTCATCATAGAAACATACATATTATACTTACATTGTGAATATATTTTTCCTGTCTTTTGTTTAAGGTTATCTAACTCTTGCTTTATTCTGTGAGCAGACATTATGAATTTTCTACTTACATTTTCTGAGATTCCTCAGATTGGGGAATGAGTTATATTTTCTACTTTTAATCATTAAAGATAATCCCCTTTTTCCTTAGCAACACCCTACTGGGAATGTAGAAGTTGGGATTTCATATACACATCTCCTTTTTGTATATAGTTTCAGAGATCAAGCCTCATGAGCCTGTCTATTATTCCTTGGTCTCTGTCCCTTGAGCTTGTAAGAAAAGCTTGCTGTCCTCAGCCCCCCAACCCCCAGGTCTCACCAATCTGACTCTTCCTTGTCTGTGAACCCATTGTCAGCCTTGCTCAGCTTGCTTAAGTCACTTAGCGCAGCTCATCGTTAGCTTTCCTTCCACAACTTCCTTCTAACTCCTCTAGTGGCCGTTAAAGATGGCACCAGTGGACATGCTAAAGTGGATAAAGAAAAGCCCGTGAGGCCTCAACGCTACACAAAGATAGGCAACTGAGAAAAACTGGGAGCCGGAGAGGTGGTCCTCCCAGGGAAGAACACACCAGTTGGTTGTCCAGTGCCAAATGGTCAGCCCTGAAAACATGCCTACAAGTAACATTATCTGGACTGAACTGTTTTTATGTAGGAATATATATATATATGAGATGAATCTTCATCTAGGGGCTGTGCCCTTAGACTAACAAGCTTGACAGAGTCTATGTGATCCTGAACAAAGCATGCAATGGATTATAGTGAGTTCTTAAATTATTAATTTAGCTGAGTTTATTCTAGTCTATTGCATAGAGTCCAATAAGGAGGATCAAAAGGAACAAACAACACAATGAGTCCAGCTAGAGAAGTCAATACACTGGTCAACTATGGTGACCAATTGCCTTTGGATTGTAAACTCTATTCCTGAGTCTGGGCCTGTTTGATAGTGTTGGAGACCCCAAGTGCACCCTCTCTTTCAAAAGTTTTCAAGGTGGAACTTATCCCATGTTTTTAGGGTTATAGTTATGGGGTTACAATGGCCAGGTGCTTTGCATGTTTTATTGGCCTCTAGGCAATGGAGAGGTAAGGGTCTCTCTCTTCTCCCCATCTCGGAGCCCATGTTTTGCAACTCTAGTGATGAATATATACATGAATTCCTAATAGGAACACACACACACACACACACACACACACACACACACACACACACACACACACGCCTGAATTTAGCTAAGTGGTAGAACACTTGCCCAGCACACATGAGCCTCTGGGTTCAGTCACCACAACCACCCAAATCAATAAATAATTAAATAAACAATAAGTACAAACAAAACCACCAAGGACAAGTCATGGTTTGCCTGAGGATGCACGTTGTCATCACCATATGTGTCATGGTCTGCATTCCTTCTGAGGAAGGCAAAGGGTCACAGATTCCTCCCAGCCTCCGTGTGAAACCATGTCTGATTCCTGTGCGCTTACACCACTTACAGATGTTAAGGACACGGATTCACTGTCACGGCTCATTGAGGTTCTGCCTCTCACCCCTGGTATCATCCACATGGACAAATGAGCTTGGGGAAGTGACTCTCAGATTTGGCTGCACTTCTGAGCCACGCGGAGTGGCTAACACTCACGCGAGCTCCCAAACCCACCTGCCCCTTGAAAACTGGGATAGGATAGAAAGACTCTACCTTCTACTGGTTTCCCAAATGACTCAAGCAAAGTTTAACATGGGCCCAGTCGATACTATCTCAAAAACTGTATAGAGCTGAATTGAGTGGGGTGTCTCAGCACTTGGGAGGTTGAGGCAGGAGGATTGACTTCAGAGCAAAGCTGAGCTTCATAATGAATTCCAAGTCAGTCTGGGCTACAATGTAAGCCCCTAACAAACAAACAAGCAAACAAATAAGGCTGCCTTGCTCAATCTCATAGCCACTAGCAGACATATAGATATTTAAATTTACATTAATTAACATTTTAAAAAATTACAGTTCAGTGTCAGTTCTATTATCCCTGTTTGAAGTGTCCAGTGTGACTAGAGGTGACCATATTGGACAGCCCAGACAAAGAACATCTCCATCATGGTAGAGAAGTCAGTGGGCGACACTGATGAGTCTAAACCAACTCCTTGACTAGTTTGTTTCACGAAAAGCTCAGGTGCAAATTAAAACTTCAAATGGCATTAAACGACTCACTAAGTCCAGACATAAATATATGGTGTCACCTGGGTCATGAGAGAGCTCTCGACCTGCTGTGATGTAGCCCTTACATTGGCGCTTCTTTATCCATCGAAGTCGCTAGACTGGAAAATAAACCAGGAGAGCTTGTTTCTAGCTGAACAGATTTCTCACTTCAAAATTAAAGGATGGTTGGCTCAGTCATTCTGACACACGTGTCATAGTAATGTTAAGTGTAGGAGAAACTGGGTGCAGGGTAAACGCGTACAATGATGTTTTTCTGATGTTGTGCAATTTATTTCTGCACTGAATCTGTGTCCTACCTCAAGGTCACAGATTAATAATGGGAAAGGCTGCTTTTAGTTGACGTGGATTCACATTTAATTTTTATTCCTCACAAGAATTTTTCTTGCCTTTAGAGAGCAGGAAAATGTTGGCAATTTCCTACTAAGGCTTAAATTCTGCTCTCCAAAGAATTGATTATCTCACAATTGATTTAATTGACCTATATAAGCACATTAAATACAACCATATAAGGAATCCCTAAAAAAAAAAAACCAAACTTCTAAATGGGTCTTATTATCTTCATAAAGTTTGTAGGCTTATTAGTGCATGAACTTTTTTTTTTTTTTTTTAAAGATTTATTTATTTAGTATACAGAAGAGGGTGTCATATCTCATTATAGATGGTTGTGAGCCACCATGTGGTTTCTGGGAATTGAACTCAGAACCTCTGGAAGAACAGTCAGTGCTCTTAACCTCTGAGCCATCTCTCCAGGCCTAGTGCATGAACTTTTAACTGTGGCTTCATTACTTTTATATTTTATTCCAGAGAACACCAGATTCATAGAAGATGCTAAATTTATGGTAAATGGAATTTAGTTCACTCCTTTTACACATTCTACTACAGAGAGTATTTTGTATATTCAATTAAATTTGCTTTACATATTGGATACATTTATTTTATGGTTTAATTTATATTAGAAGGCTTGTTCAATTTTGCTAATAGTGTTGTCTGAATAAACAGTAACATTTGTGAGTTGTTGAGTGCAGAAGTTCAAATTAAAAAACATATATACTTAAATGACATAGGAATGTTTACTTAGCTCTTCACACATCAGAATATCTATGGCTTGTTGAAGTTATAGTATGCATTGAGAATAAATGTATCACCAATCTTCATGACACATCAGAATATCTATGGCTTATTGAAGTTATAGTATGCACTGAGAATGAATGTATCACCAACCTTCATGACAAAGCAGATTCAAAAGGCACAGTTTTGAAAGTTTTTATAATCCATTACTTTATTTTTATAAACTTATCATTTATTTTAGCATCATAAAGTTTCCAAGAAAGAAACCCAGAGTTTTCTACCATTTTAGCTACCTAGTATCTTAGAGGCACAGCCCTTCTGAGCCTCATCATAAATATACCAATGCCAGTAAAGTATACATTCACTAGTAGACCAGTTGTCCCAGGGGAAAGAGAGCTCTGAGAGACAATGGTTTCCAGCTCTGTCATCTCAAACTGTGAATGAAACATCACGGGTCTATTGTCCGTCTACTAATTGACATTTAGGGTTTGGGTTTGTCCTCTATGAAATGGCAGCTATTGTGTCTGATAAAGCCTAAGGTTTCCCTACTAATCTAAAAGTGCAGTTGGTTTGAATGTGTTAAGGACAGACTCAGAGTTACCAATAACACATCAGTGTTGTGTTAAGGAAAGAAATGAAAGCCCTTCCTCTTGGTGTCATTTAACCAAGAGCGAGCCTGCATTTGATTCCTCTACTTCCCTATTTGTATCTTTTATCCTCTTAAAATGTGCCTGCCCGAATGCTGTCTTGTGAATCTGTCCATGTGTCTGCTTCTGCCCCAGTGTGTCTGTCTGTCTGAGTGTGTCTGCGTCTATCCCTAACAAAGGGCTTTTGTCTACATTTATTGAGCAGTACAGAAGGCATCACATGGAGGAAAGGAATGAGGGATACTTAACAGAAATCTTCAGGAGAGTTTTACAAGGGATTAAGTCACTGGCCCCAACAGACTCAGATAACAAACAGTATTACAAACATCATCGTTTATCAAGCAATAGCTGTATGTTGCTTTCAACATGTATGGTGGATATTCGTTTTATAAAACCACCTTCAGCCTATATTTTCTGTTTTAGCAAATGATTATCAAAACATATACAAACATGCATACATTACTCTTGAGTCAGGGCATGGAAGGGTCCGGGATATGTTCCTTCATTGTCTCAAGCACTCATGAACACATGTTAACTCGGTGTTCCGAATTTTTTTTTTTTTCAAGGATAACTAGCTGGGCATGGTAGCGCACACCTTTTAATCCCAGCACTTGGGAGGCAGAGGCAGGCATATATCTGTGCATTTGAAGCCAGTCTGCCCTACACAGCAATTTCTAGCACAGTCAGGGCTACATAGTGAGACCCTGACTCAAAAAGAGTAAATAAGTAAAGAAGATTGACATGCTTTGACTTTTGTCTTCACAACAATTAGAATATGTTGGAAACTGGTAAGGACAGACCATTTATAGTGTATATGTTTTGATCAGCAATATTGCAAGAGAATATTCTCTCAAGCATGAACAATAAACCATGTGTTTTTCAAAAAGAGTTCCTGAAGTTGGGCACTAAGGAGTGCGATGAGCTAGGTATTCCAGTGCCTGCTCCTGGGTATCTCCCCAAATCCTCAGAGATGCTCGGGTCATGCTTCCATGTTAGTTTCATTTTACAGTTGACCTCAAGGTAAACTCTAAAACTCACTCCTGCCTCATGATGTCGGCTTTCTCCTATGTCTGGTAGAGAAGCCACATCTTTAGCTCAGGAGACAGACTTCCAGTTTGGAACTTGTTTTTTTGTTGTTGTTTGTATGTTTTTGTTTTGTTTGGAAACTTGTTTCCCGTGTTATCTCACAAGTTTTCCCTCTACTTGGCTAATTGAAACGGAGAGCCAAGAGCTGTTCTCCCAGCCCACGGTCCAGCTTTGCTCAACTGAGCTGCACACAGGGTCCTGTTCACTCAGGTAGCTTCAGCTTTCCTTGGGACTTGAAGAGGTGAAGGCTGGTTTCCCCTCACTCGGATTTCTATAGATAACTAACCCTTACAATTTGAAAAGTCACAATTACAGTTTTTGAAGTAAATCAGTTACGCATATTAACTACCAAAGCAACTTGACCATTTCTTGTTCGGTCGACTATAATAATCCTATTTCAAATTCATTTTCCTTTTTAATGAGTCCAAAATTCCTTTTTTTTTTCATGCTACAGCAGTACTTTGCGGCGGTATGTATCTGTTCTTTCTTTACAACACTTGACAATTTTTGTTTCCTAAATGGAGTTAGAGCAATATGGTACTGGGACATCTTGAGACTCAGAAGACAGAAATGAACACTCAAAAAAAAAAAAAACACCCACAATATAACTTTAAATACAGTGCAGGGCATTTTAGTTCGTGGTTTTGAAATTTATTGCATATTACCTATCATTTCTGAAGGGACATCATTTACTTATTTATTTACACCCTTATAAAGTTTCTTGCTTTGAGACACTGGATATGAATTCTAACTGTCTGTAGAATAGATGTATATAATTGTTGCTTTAAATAAATGTAATAATATTTAAATAAAACTGAAAACTTTGTTGCACAAAACTATATATATATATATATATATATATATTCCTTTAGTGTTACTAGTTCTCTGCATAACAGATTTCCTACTTAAGGCTGAACAAGTTCATGCATGGTTTCCCTTGGATTTGTGAGGGTGGTCTCAATGGGGCTGCCTACGTCGTATTGATCTGCTGCTGAAGCGGGCAGCATTATTGCCAGGTACTGCTGTCCTCTGACCAGCACCTTGCTGCTTTGCAGGTATGGACCCGAGTCACTAGATGGTTTAGTGTGGGTCCTAGGGAGGACTGTAAGCACAGATCTTCAGGTTATGGAGGTAAGTCCTGAAAGTATTGTGGAGTACAATGATATTTGGGAAGTGCTTTTGATGTAACTTGACTCGCTGAAATGAAAAATCATACACTTACTTGAATCATCTCACTCCACGCTTTGTTAGTGTGATTGGTATTGTATTAGCCTGGTTTCTCTAAAGGAAAAGAACTGATAGAATTTTACATTCTCTCTCTCTCTCTCTCTCTCTCTCTCTCTCTCTCTCTCTCTCTCTCTCTTCTCTCTCTCTCTCTCTCTCTCTCTCTCTCTCTCTCTCTTTCTCTCTCTGTCTCTGTCTGTCTGTCTGTCTGTCTGTCTGTCTCTCTCTCTCTCTCTCTCTCACACACACACACACACACACACACACACACACACACACACACACACACACAAAGGGAACTTATCAGAGTGGCTTACAAGCTATAGTCCAAGTAGTCCATCTATGGCTGTGTGGCTGTCTCCTGATGGAACGGCCAAGGATCCCATAGTTGTTCGGTCCACAAGACTGGATGTCTCAGCAGTCCCAATCTAGTGCTGGAGTCCCAAGAAAGCCCTAGACAGCTGCCAGTTTCAGTCGGTGTTGGAATCCTGAAGAAGCAGGTTCTAACACCGGGGAAGGAGTGCCTCAGGAACAGGATGATGGCCTTGCCGACAAGAGTGAGGGCAAGTAAGCAAAAAGCAAAGTCTCCCTTCTTCTGTGTCCTTTTCTGTGGCCTGCCACCAAGAGGTGTGGCCCATGTTTAGGGTGGATCTTTCCACCTCAAATAATTCAGCCATGAAAAATCCTTCATGAGGAGTGCCCAGCTGCTTGGGTTTTAGTTAATTCCTGATGTAGTTGGCTTGACAACCAAGATTAGCCATTACGAGTTCAGGTTTTGTCAACTGGACACACAATATCTCCTTTGTCATGCTTAATTTCTATCATTCTTTCTTTTTTAATGTTCTTTTTTTTTGAGACAGGGTTTCTCCATGTAGTTTTTGTTCCTGTCCTGGAACTCTCTCTGTAGACCAGGCTGGCCTTGAACTCACAGAGATCCGCCTGGCTCTACCTCCCGAGTGCTGGGATTAAAGGTGTGCGCCACCACCGCCTGGCTTGTCATGCTTAATTTCTAAGTAAAAGCAATAGCCAAGTCATAATTGTGCCTAATATAACTATCCCATGTACAGCCACGTGTATTATATATTTGAGAATAGGTGGCAATGTCACTTGGCGGACATTCTTTTAATGTCTTATAACTTAAATATGATAACCACTGATATTACCTCAATTGATATTACATTACATGATAAAAATATAGAGGAAAGAAAAACATTATATATATATATGTACACACACACACACACACACACACACACACACACACACACACAACACATTCTTGCCAAAATAGGATAAAAACACTCAAGTCAATTATAATTTGTTGTTTCTGCAACTGGTCACATGGTCTTAGCTGGTATTTATAACTACCTCCCTCTACCACCCATTCTGTATTTCCTCCACCCTCAGCAGGTCTTGGCTCTCTTCCTGGAGGAGTGACCCATACTTTCATTCCTGAAGGGTCTGTGCCCTTTGTCATCCTGCCTGGATTGCTTTACTATAGTTTTCCTTTGACTTTAGTCATAAGATGATAACATCAAGAGATGCCCTAAAGTAGCAGTCCTCAATCTGTGGGTTGAGACGTTTTGGGGGCCACATGTCAGATAACCTTCATATCGGGTATTTATATTACGATTCATAACAGTAGCAAAAGACAGTTATAAAGTAGCAATGAAATAATTTTATTATTGGGGATCCCCACATATCTTAGGGTTTCTATTGCTGGGATGAAAACACCGTGGCCAAAAGACAAGTTGGGGAGGAGAGGGTTTATTGGGCTTACACTTTCAGCATTGCCATCACTGAAGAAAGTCAGAACAGGAACTGAAACAGGGCAGGATCCCGGAGGCAGGAGCTGATATAGAGGCCATGGAGGTGACTTCCTTACTGTCTTGCTCCTTGTGACTTGCTCTGCCCACCTTCTTGTAGAACCCAGGACCAGTAGCCCAGGGGTGGTACCATCCACCACGGGCTGGGCCCTCTCCCATTGATCACTAAATGAGAAAATGCCTTGCAGTTGGATCTCAAGGAGACATTTCCTCGGCTGAGACTCTTTCCTCTGATGACCATAGCTTGTGTCAAGTTGACACACGAAACCACCCAGGACACCACAACATAGGTGTATTAAAGGGTCACAGCATTAGGAAGGTTGAGAACCCCTGCCCTAAAAGGATCTCTCACACTCCGGACATAATCTTCCTCGCCTCCACCATGCAGAATCCAATTTCCACTTAGTAGTCTGGGTCAATTACGCCTAACACCATCATTCTTTTCTTAGTCTGATGGCTTTAGGGCACCAGAAGCCCAAAGTGGTGAAGTCTAAGCTTCCAGTTCAATGGAATGTTTCTTGTATCTCCAGGCAGGAGTGAGGGCTCTTCCATCTGGAACCAACCAAAACTTCTAGGCCAGCAGAATGTCAGGAAAAATTCCCCTAGTGGGCCAGGAGGGTGATAGTGAACAAAACTAGTCCCTTTACTACTCCTTGGTTTCTGGACCCATGAATATTGGCGATGGGAGAAATCAGAACATGCATTGGATGTGGATTCAAAGCATATACCACCTTCTGCAGAATCTTACCCCAGCCCTCCCGGATACTGCCACCTAATTTGTGCTGTAACTGTGTCTTCAAAAGGCCGTTCCATCATTCTATTAGACCAGCTCCTTCAGGACGATGGGAGACGTGAGAGGACGGGTGAATTCTGTGAATGCAGACCCACTGCCACCCTCCTCTGACTGTGAAATGAGTTCCTTGGTCAGAAGTCACGTTATGTGGAATACCGCGATGGTGTGGATAAGGCATTCTGTAAAGTCCGTGGATAATTGTTTTGGCAGAAGCAGTATGTGCAGTAAAGGCATCTATTTCCAGAATGCCAAAGCTCTTTGGTGGTGAAGTGTACCTTCCCATGGACTACACTTTCTGTCTTCCTCTCTAGCAGCTTGCTCAGCCTGAAGTCTGGTTATAGGTATAGAGGCAACTATTGGAGGGCCCCAAGAGACGTCAGAATTATCTTGTCTGGCATCTCCTTCAGGGAAGATTACTCCTGGTTGGGCATACAATAAGGATTAATTTCCTCAGGCAAAGGCAGAGAGGTCAATATTACAGGACAAGGGAGTGGAGATGCATCCTCTGCTAAGGGTGGAGAGATTACTTCCTTGGGTGAGACAAACCCTTCAGAATCTGAGGTTCAAAGTCCTCCCCTCAGTAGATTCTTCTCCCATGTCTCCATCCCACACCACAGGATCCCACCCCTTACCAATCAACACCCTGACTTTAACTGCTGATACCTTCCAAGGTTGAGACTTGAATTTTTGTTGTGATTCAGCCAATCTTAGAAGGAGGGTTTTGGTTGATTTTCTGCAACTTGAGTTCTATGGCTGCTGGAGAGAAAATTCTCTTCCAGGGCACACTTAGAAACGTTTAGACTGGTTCTGTGCATCTGGAGTGAGTCAATTGTATCACTCAGTTCATCCTTTTCTTGCCACTGTATCCAGAATTGCTGTAAGTTGGTTAATTTGACCACAGAGTTCATTCTTTTCCTTTATCATGGTATCCTGAGACACAAGAAGTTGGTTAATTTTTATCATAAAACTCATTCTTTCCTCTGTCCATTTATCCAGAGATGCTAGGAGCAACAAGCCAGTATTATTATTTTCCTTATTTTTTCCACAAATTGTCAAAAGTTATATGTACAGTCACTAAATTCCCTTTTTCCTAACAATGGTCTTTCAGTGCTCTCCATATTACTAAGGGAGTCTGCAGTTGGAAGATTTCCTGTGTCCCTCCTGGCTAGCTGGCTGGTAGTCTAAACAAATCTCTCCCACTAGTGTCCCCCAAGCAAACAGAATTCCCAGAATTCTCCTCTTTGCTTGCCCCCGCCTATACCTCCTGCCTGGCTACTGGCCAATCAACGTTTTATTTATCAACTAGTCAGAGCAACACATATTCACAGCATACAGAACGACATCCCACAGCAGGAGTTTTCAATAACTATAGATGTTGGTGAATTCTGAGGTCTGTTCCAGAAACTTAACAAATTCACCCTTACAATTCTGTCTCTCTAGAGCCACTTCCTTAGTTAATTCTATCTTAGTTACTTTTCTGTTGCCGCGATAAGACATCATGACCAAGGCAACCTATAGAAGACTTTATTGGGAGCTTGCTTACAGAGAGTTAGAGTCCATGACCATCATGGCAGGGAGCATGACAGCGGGTAGGCAGGCATGGCAGTGGAGCAGTAGCTGAGAGTTTACATCTTGATTCATGAGCACAAGGCAGAGAGAGAGCCAACAGGAAATGGCATGAGCTTTTGAAATCTCAAATCCCATCCCCAGTGACACACCTTCTCCAACAAGGCCATACTACCTAATCCTTTCCAAACAGTTCCATCAACTGGGGACCAAGCATTCAAACTTATGAGTCTATGAGGGCTGTTCTCACCTGAACCACCACATTCCACTTCCTGGTTCCTATAGGCTTGTGGTCATATCATAATATAAAATACATTTAGTTCAACTTCAGAAGTCCCCATTGATGTTCAGTCTCAACACTGTTTAAAAGTCCAAAGTTTAAAGTCTCTTCTGAGACTGAAGGCACTCTCTTAATTGTAATGTTCTGTAAAATCAAGAAGCAAATTACATGATTCTGACACATAATGGCACAGAATATACTGTACCATTACAGAAGGGAGGAGTTAGGACATAGTGAAGAGAGTGGACCAAAGAAAAACAGTAACGTAACAGGACAGACTCCAAATCCTGTAGCTCTATAGTGTCCAGTGCCAAATAGGTTAGATGGCTTTGCCCTTCAAGCTTTGCTGCCTACAACATACTTCTTTCTTGGGCTAGTTCCACTCCATGTCTGAAGGTCTCTTTGGCTTTGGCACCTTTAGGGGTCTTGAAGGCAATCTAGGCTTTACTTCCACAGCTTCACACAATGGCCTCCCAGTGTCTTTTGCCTTCTCAGAGCCTTCATGCGGGGACTGCCCAGCCACACATTGCTTGACCTCAGTGGCCTTCCTTAACCACGTAGGAAGATTCCATAAACCCATGCACGTGTATCCTTCATGACTCTAAACCCAGATCCACGTGGATAACATTGCCAAGTTCAGCAGCTGGCCCCTTGAATCACATCTACAAGCATGCTACCATGCTCCAATTAGACTCAGATTCTTGTGCTTACATGGCAAGCATTTTGCCAACTGAGCTATTTTTCTAGCCCATCAGTACTGGTGTTTGCATATTAATTTTCTGAAACTTTACTGAATTGTTTATTCATTCAGATAAATAAAAGATGTTGCTATCTATGAACAGTGCCAATTTGACTAAAACATGCAGAAATGAAGGGCAACATCTGTAAAGACAGATGTAAGATGCATGGAGATTGACCTCTGGAAGCTGCCAAGTTCCTTTGAAATACAAAAGGGTTTCTCTGTCTCTGGTCACAAATCTTGTGCAATATCCAATATGTATTCCATAACTATTTGTTGAGAGCTATGATATACTTTGGAAATAAAGAAATTAATAAGATCAAGTTCTTATTTCGTGGACATTGCAGCTGACATTTCATCCTTCTGGGTCAGTTTGGTGTTAATCACACTGTCTCAGTCACAGCCTCCTCAGGGACACATGATGGAGGTCTACCCATTGCTACTCCTTGAAGTGTCATTGCCTCTTTGCAAAGGCGTTTTGGTTTTTTCCATGAACTGGTTTCTTTTGTGTCAGTGAAAGTTTGGTGTTGCTGATCAATTATCTCCATCCTTCTAGTTGCAGTGGTTCCTGGGAAATGTGTTGGAGGAGCACCAGAGGATTGCGGCTCATGCCAAATTACAGGCAATGAAGACAGAGAATCTGAAAAACAAGAAGAGGATTGCCAGGATGACTGAGTGGCTTCGGAAAAACACATAATTTGTGGCCACTTGTAGCATGCTTCCTGCGTTTTATAATCGTGTTTGCTCACAGTTCTGTCTTCCATATTTAGTGACTCTGGAAAGCTGCATGGCTTCTTTTATTTTGGTTATGTTTTTTTCTACTTAGTCATGGCCTTCCTGTTTTCACACCTTACCCCAAGGATCAGTGATTGCTGAGGATTTTGTCAACACTGCCATGTATCTGGGCAAACCTTCACTTCCCATTGAGCAATAAAGTCACCAAATTTAAGTGCCTTGCAAAAAAACAAAACAAAAAAAACACCAAAACCAGATTGACCTGAAAAAGTCTCACTTATTTTGATGTGAAGGCTAGTGGAGCATTAAATCAGTGGCATTAATGTAGTGCAGATTCTATTCAGATGGAAATCCAGACTTGGAATAACTCTATGCTTTACTTAGTTTAAAAATGAAGGAATGATGGGAACACAACATTGCAGTGTAAAGAAAGAGGAGCCAGAAATAAATGAGATCACTAGGAGAACGCGCAACCAAAGAAAGCAGAGTCTAGTCAAGGCTGAAAAGGAGACATGAACAATTTCAGGAGTCATATCAAATGCCCCAAAGCAAAGCAAAAAAAAAGAAAAAAGAAAAGTCTTCTCCCCAAAGTCAAGCCGGAGCACAGTGATCGCCATTTCGTACTCAGGAGAACAAATTCAGTTGGCCAAGTGGAGCAATAGACTTTCAAGAGTCGCTGACTAACACATGGAAAGAGCTTAGTTTTGTTATACACAGGATGAAAATCAGGACAGTGAAGCACACTGCTCCTGCTTCAGATGCTGGGTATCTCATCCAGTCCTTTTTCCTTTACACCTCGTTGGTGTTTTTTTAGAATGAGGGTCAAAATCGCTTATCTCCTAACTACCTCACAGTAGTATTGTAAAGATTAATGAATATGCTATCAATGCAAAGACTTTAGAACTTCCAGACAAGACTAGAAGCTTAGAAGATTGTTTCGTGTGACTTTATTAATGAGCAGTCATGGGAAAGACTATATATTTCAGAGACAGAAAGAAAGGAGAGCATCAGGAATCATGAAGATGGCAGGACTGGAAACCAGCACAAAGAAACAGACCAAGAAGGGAAAGAAGAAATAGGCCATGGTGTGACACTCCATCCATGGTCTGTCACCGAGCACACACATATTCAAAATTAACACTACCTAAATAGAAACATAAGTCATTATACATTCAAATGTTTATTTGAAATTCGTAGCATCTCACATTACTAAAATTTAAAATATCTCTAAGTTTTCTAGAGAAGGCTTTGCATCTATACACATGGTGAATGGAACATAAAGTCACCATGCTCATGTCCCAACTTCCTCTACTTCATAGCAATGCCCACGTAGCACACTGCTAACTCATACAACCAATGAGGAACAGTCATAAACCCAGAAGATTTCATTATACCACGCCTTGCATATGGCTGTGTGTTTGTGACTAGTGCAACGTAATGGATGCAAATAAAGACTTCTGTGTTGGATATTCATCTCTAGTTTCCAGTTTGTTTTTAATTTTTAATTGTGTGTGTGTGTGTGTGTGTGTGTGTGTGTGTGTGTGTGTGTGTGTGTGTGCGTGCCATGAGTGCAGTGCCCACGCAGACCAGGAGAGGCATCAGGTCTCCTGGATGTGGAGTTACAGGGGTTTGTGAGCTGCCTGGTATGTGTGTGCTGAGAATTGAATTGGATCCTTTACTCTCTTAACCGCTGAGCCATCTCTCCAACCCCATAACCTGATTTCTGTGATTTTGAAATTCTAAATGAAGTCTAAAGACACAGACTGAAAAATACAGAGAGATATTTGTGTTGTGTTATAAGTGGATACCCTGGGATCTGGATTTTCAAAATAACAAATTGTAAGTTTTTAAATTAGATTTCCCTACACAAGCTTATTTTTAAAAAACGTTTCCTTTTGTAAAAAAGCATACTTTGTGGGAAAGGCTATTTCTGTAAGTGTATTCGTGTATAATACACACAACACAGTTCTCTCTCTCTCTCTCTCTCTCTCTCTCTCTCTCTCTCATGTGTGTGTGTGTGTGTGTGTGTGTGTGTGTGTGTGTGTGTGTGTGTGTATGTGTAACCTTCCTGCCTTGGGCTGAACTACACTCTAATTCATTTGATTTCCATGGAAAAGCACTAACAGAGATGAAGGGCTCCTCTCATTCTTTCCTTGCACTCTCACATAAACGAGCAGATGAGATACAGCTATCAGGTCTACTGAGCCTGAAGAAAGTGGCCATTCTGATGAGATGATGGCTCCTGGACCTGAAAAGCCACAAGTACATGCCAGAGGAGTGAAGCGAAGCCTCTAACCATGGGATGTGTAGGATATCTGGGGTGTCCACTCTGTGTAGTGATCACACTATCATTCGGAAATGGTTCCTTAATTTTAGCATATCTCACTTGAGATAAACATAGCTGTTGATGCCACTGCTCCTCAGGAGCAGGAATAATCCTGTTGATAAATCTCCAGCTTCATTTAGAAGATCATCAGAGGAATGCTCTATAATAGAGAACAGACAGCTCTGCTCTCTTCAAAAGGTGATATTCTCCTTCATCCCTACCAGCTAAACCCTAGACTTTGGAGAAAATATGTTCATTTTAGAAAGTAACTGATGGAGAAGTCATGACCTAACTAATTACAACTGGCATAATGCAGCTGGCAAGTGATGTAATAGGCAGGAAAGACTACACATTCTGTTTCCTGTAGGATACACTGAGCATGCGCTGTACAGGATTCCCGCTTCAGCACATCACTGCTAGCCAGTATCCATCCCTGTCGATCAGAAAAACAAATCGGACTAATAGTCTGTTCATTTGCTTTAACAAAGAGATTTAAAATTCTAGAGCTTGTTAGACAAATGCTGAGGACATGGAAAGAACAAGAAAGAAAGGAAAAAAAAACCTGGACACAGCTCAAGGGTGGATTCTTATTCCAAGTCTCAGAATCTCTCCATCTCTCCACTGATGCCTCAATTCTCATACTGGGGACTTGACAGAGCTGTGAATTTAACTTGCATTGTAATGCTACATGCTACAGAATCCCATAGAGCAGCTACAAAAATGCAGGACATATTTTGTGGGGCTCATGGGGAGCAGAGGCAGCCGCCTTTCTTGGGGTCTGTGGGCTAACTGGCTGGCTTCACACATAGGCAACATACTCTATCCTCAAGTGGCTGTCTGCTTCCATGTTGTTGATGGCCTTCATGTTGAGGTAGTTGGGGAACTTGATGTCCATCTGGCAGCTTGATGGTCAGGTCATAATGGCTGAAAGTGATGCATCCGTCCATGACATTCCCCGGCCGGAAGGGAAAGCCAGATTCCTCAGTCCTCCGGGCTCTACTACGCTTGCTGTTGCCCACAATGGCACTGGTGTCCCCTAGGGCATTGAAAAGGCTTGATGTGTAAGCTCAGGTTGTTGCTGTCTTTGCCAAGGTTCAGCACAAAGCTCTTGGCTTTGGAGGTCACCTTGCCCCAAACTCTGAGGCACTCCCTAGGTTTGGGATTCAGGTTGCTGGTGACCAGACTACAAGTCGTGACTAAGAAAAGCTTCTGGATCCACTGTACCGGCAGTCTAAATACTTTGCCTGATAACTCAGGGATTCTTTATGACTAAACACCTTAGAAGTCATCTGGTTCTCTGATCATGTCTTAGTCTATTTCATGTTGCTACAACATGTCCAAAACTCAGTATTTTTTATAAAGAAGTGAGGTTTATTTAGCTCCAATTTTTTAAGACACAAAATTCATCATTGGGAGAGTTGAGGTCAGGGTGTTCCTGCCCTAAATTTCTCTATATTATATAAAACTGTGATCCCTCCCCCCCACCTACACACACACCAGGCTGTCTCTTACTCTGGGAGATTCTATTTTACAAGCAACACCTGTAGATAATTTAAATAATAAAGAAAGAGGTGCATAGGTCATATGAGAATACTATGCCATTCTACACAATGGACTTAAGCATGTGAAGAATTTGGTGTTTGTGGGGGCCTGGAACCAACTCCCCACAAATACTACAGATGGTTGTAGATCACTGTCACTCACTGCATCAGCAAACATCATGTTGAGTGGTTGAAAATGACGATGTTAACTGAGGAATCTGGGGTCCCGTCGTGTGTTCTCAGTTTCATTGAAAAAGACTCAGAAGGGATCTTGAATATCATTTTTATTAGATTTTGAGAGAAAAATATCAGGGTAAGCAAGCTGTAAATCTCAGCAGCTGACGAGAGAGAGAGAGAGAGAGAGAGAGAGAGAGAGAGAGAGAGAGAGAGAGAGAGAGAAGAGACATGTTTCTTGAGGTAGGGTCCATAAAAGCTTTAGGCAGGTTCAGTGATGGAGGGAGAAAGGGATGGCGCTGTCTTTAGAGAAAGAACAAGGACATTCAGATGTCAGGGCAAGCATACTTAGGATTTGGGCAGGTATCGAAGAAAGAGGTAAAGAGGTGGGGATGAAAAGCTGTGCTTTTTCAGTCAGAACTCAGGAAAGTGGGCAGGCTTGGCAGTAAAGATCTGCGAGCAACTAAGTGAGGGAGGGGCTCCTGGGATGGAGAAGTATATGGTCTCACTTAAGAGTAAGGGACAATTATTCTTCCCATCTCCTTAGCTTGTCTTCAGGCAAATCCATTTTCTCGAGGACAGGTCTCCTGTCCAGGTGACTGACAGGCCAGGTTGGACGAACTCTTAAGAGAAAGTAGAAGTATATGTGCTGTTTCAGGGAGTTCATCTCCAGGGTCATCCCAGGTCAGAGGAAGAACTCAGATCCCACTCTGTTGACCAGGAGGATGGAGCTTTCCCTTAATGGACTCAACAAAGCCCTGACACTTTACACTTTCCTATGGTATTGTAAATCTGAAGAAAGGGCAATTACGATGCTGCTCTTAAAATTGATGTGCTACCAGGTTAGTGGTGGTGGAGTTCAAAGCTGATTGTCAAGGTCCATCCTCACGGCCTCCAAGTCTTTTGTTCTTATCTAAACACCTAATAGTGACACTAGGTGGCAGAGCTATGCTCCACACGAAAGCCCCGGTCCAGCCTAAGTACAGTCTTTTCTTGAGACTCTTATATCAGCAAGGGTCCAATGAGGAACTCAGAAGCCCGCTGCTCTTTGACTGAGAGAGCTCAGTGTAAGGAACTAGTAATGGAGAGCTGAAATGGCAAAGACCAACAGTGAGATGACACCAAGCTAAGTAAGAGCCACAAGCAGCAGCTTGCTGTCCCAGTGAGGGTGTCACAGGAGGAGAGCAGGGCTACCTCGGCTACCCAAGGTTCATAGGGGCTGTGGACCAAACCTGGAGGAGTGGGTGGACTCCACTGCCCTGGTGAGTTAGAAAATCAAAGACAAAAAGGGGGCCCTGGAGCTGCATTCAGACATCTGAGAAGGGTGTGGTCAGAAGGTGCTGGTGGTGTCCCAGCTGTGGATACACGTAGTCTGAAACTCTGAGGGGAAATCCAGTGAAATGAAATCTAACAGTCAAAGCAAGGGGGTGGAAAATCACCCACTGCTGGGCTAAGCAGAAAGAAGCTAGAAGCAAACAGGAGAGAGCCAGCAAGCCCTCTCTCTCTCCTCTAGCCCTCCAACCTTTCCATGTCCCTTGGTGCCCCCTGCTGGCAGACTTGAAAAGCTAAACTACAATTTGTTTGCTTGTTTTAGATTTTTTTCATATATATATATATATATATATATATATATATATATATATATATATATATATAGTGCCGAATGCTGTTTATTGAAGGAGGGAAGAGGTCTTACAGCACAATGGGAGAACCCCAGAGGGCAGAAGTTCACTATGATGTTTTACAACCTTGCATCTAAGCTGTTAATGCCCATTATGCAGGATACACAGACAAGGAACTTCCCTTAAGCATTCAGGAGGGTGGAACCCGGCAGGGAATTAGCATCAGGAGGATATCAAGATCAAGGTCAGCAAGCAAGGCAACAGTTACCCAAAACAAGGGCCAGGACCCTACAGGTCCCCCTTTTACTAAAAAATGAGCTTCTGACTTAGGTTGCGTGGGACGTCAGCAGGTCACCTTACCCGTCATGGAGACGCCTGCCCAGGTCACACAGGCGCTCTGTCTTAGGTTGGTGAGCGCATCCCAGGTATTACCCGTCTCTGAATACTCGTCATCATACAGGCTCAATCGTGTGGGAGCTGCAGAGTTAACTGCTGCCAAAGATCTAAACAATCCAATTAAAAAATGGGCTAAAGAGCTAAACAGAGAATTCACAAAACAAGAATCACAAATGGCTGAACGACATTTAAAGAAATGCTCAACATCCTTAATCATCAGAGAAATGCAAATCAAAACGACTCTGAGATACCACCTTACACCTGTCAGAATGGCTATAATCAAAAACACTAATGACAGTCAATGTTGGAGAGGATGTGGCACAAAGGAAACACTCCTCCACTGTTGGTGGGGATGCAA